TCTAACATTATAATTGGTACAACCCATTTTTATTTTTTGGCTCATTTTCAATAAATGATTCAGTTATTCATTAATAAAACTTTGTTTCAGTGCTAAATGATCATTGTTGAAGAATTATTCAGTGGCTTGTTTTTGATGGGTGGTTGCCGCCACCTATTGGGTAAATTATGTAATTGCTGCCTACAACTGTTATTTTTTTTTAGCGTAACGTTAAATGCATATGACGTCGATGATTTTAACCTTTACCATAAACATCATTGGTTTTATCTAAACAATAAACTGTTCTTTTGTGTTAATTAATTGTTTGTTACTTCATAAGTAACTCAAAAGACTAAAGACTGAATCTCTTTCTTGATTTCAGCACAGATTTTGAATGCAGCGATTTGAAAGAATGAATAAACATATGCAAATCTCCATCATTTATAATTTATGTTGTTTGTGTGTTGAGATCCTAACCTTTAATGATTAATCGTGCAGCTTACACTGAATGCATTAATGCAGGCTTAACAAGTGATAGATGACACCTTTAATAACCTAAGAAACGTACCACACCCAGAATAACCTACCACAACTTCTTCCATCTTCATCATTATCTTTATATTTTACAGTAAAGCCTAAATAATAATGATAATTCCTCACATTTATATAGCGCATTTCTGGCCACTCAAAGCGCTTTACACATTGGGGGATCTCCTCATCCACCACCAGTGTGCAGCATCCATGTTGTTTGAATGATGCTAGGGGCGATCTCTCTCTGATCGCTACAAATTTAGGATTAACCTACAAGTAAAAAAAAGTATTAGCCTAATCTGTGGGTCACATGTGTTTCAAACTATGGGTTGTGATCCGTACGAATACCGGATCAACCATTATCCATTACACCCCTATTAATATCACAATAATATATTCATATACTGTGATGTATTATTAAGGATTCTAACAATCAGTTCATAGTAGTGTGTACTTGATCACCGATTGGTTATTGATCAGTGATATGAAGTGTGTGTGTTTGTGTGTGTGTTTAGCAGCACTGTAGGGGTGTCACGATTTTGATTTTAAATCGAAATCGATCGAAATTTATGCTCAATTTCGATTATCGAATCAAAAAATAGAATCGTCGATGCTGCCACGCCCCCAATGTCACGTCAGCTTGGCTTGCCAAGCGGGAAAAACAGGCTTGTTGAAGTGCTTGTTAAACTGTGCAGACGCAGGAGACCCGTCCACAGAGCTTAAACTTTTAGGGCTCGACAATAAGGACTGCCTGATGGCCCGGAGCCAGTGTGCGAGACGCTCGGGCCAGTGTACAGTGCTGCCTTGTTGCGTGCCAGATCGAGCCAGAGCTGCGTGCAGCGACTGTCTGTCAATTGTGTGCAAATACAATCTTACGGTGCTTTCACACATAGACGTTTGTTTCGGAATCTGTCTCCTTTCCCCCGTTAGCGCGGTTTGTTTGGCATATATCCAGCGGTTGCGCTCGCATCTGCGCCAAATCAATCAGTCCGAGATCGCTTAAATGAGACGGTCTCTGCTCTATTAAAGGGCCATGAAGCCCCCTCATTTCAGCAGGGTGTTTTCACACCTCTACTTTGGAAAAAGTCAGAAAAGTGGGCGTGTCCAGCTCTGTTTAGGGGGGAGTGTCGGAGGAACTAAAGTGGGATGGTGTGGGAGTGTCTATTTGGGCGCACGCGAGTTTCAGTCAAAATTCACACACACAGTAGAAAGTGATGGTGTTTAACCTACATGGACATCTGTAGTCGAATTATTTGCCAAATTATTAAATGGTGGACTTTAACTGCAGTTTGGCTCTTTCATTCAGGGACTTCATTCATGCCCCTCGCGACAAACGAGATATTTGATTCGAGGAGCTGCTGTAAGTGTGTATTTTTCATGCAATGTTTGATACCGCACGGCGAATGAGAGAAAAAAAAACCTCTGCATTTCCCGGAAACTTAGATGCACACGGCAGGTAGCGTCAGAAAGCCGCGTGTGTTATTTCGGTCACAAAATGCGGTGAAAACTCTTTGCGAGGTTAAAGTTTGGTTGTGGTGCTAACATGTTTACACTCGGTGCAATAGTTTGTTTGATACAAATAAAATACAAACTGAATAAACAAAGAGCACTGGTCGCTCACTTACCAAATCTGTAGAGACAGGACAATCACCAGCAACTAGAGCCGCGTCTTTATTAAGAGGAGACTACAAGCGAATCCGGATCTCAGCGTTTGCAGATGAGAACAGCTCTCAGGTAAACAATAATCCTCCTTAGAGACGCAAGTTATTGTTGTCGAGCGTCGCTGAGCTCTCACAGAGAGAAAATGAAAACAAAACTTAACGGCAGCAAACTGTAAAAGCAACACTTCACGCTTGTTTTGCCAACACAACGTGGTGTGAGTGTCATGTAAACACTGTGACAGTAATGAATATTAATGAAGTAGCACAATAGAGCGCGCTGATTGGTTTGAACCAAGCCTTACTCATGCATTAATGCAGCACACTGTAAGACGTAATAAGACACACTCTGGCACAGACGTCCAGTCTGCACGCTGGAATACACGCTGTTATGTCATGACCGTGACGCAGCTTCAAAAATTACTTTCAAACCGAAAGTACGAATTTGCTTGAAATAACGCAAAAACAACCAATTTACACTTTTTAGTGAAATATAGGCGTCCTAATAGTGTTTATAGCAGTGTGGGACGACACATATACGACTGTCAACAGCTCAAAAAATGTGTTTTAATGTTTTGTGACCCTTTAAGCGGAACGATTGTAGTGAGAAAACAAAACAATGCAACGAACTAACGACCCAGGCTATATCACAGTGTATTATGATCGTGTAATAGCCTTATATACGACTATATGAAGAGAGAATGATGAGCAGGGCGAGATGTCATTCTTACAGGTAAATGCAAAAGTGAAAGCATGCTGAAATATTACCGAGAGCCGTTTATCCAGCCTGATCTCGGTTTATCCGTTAGGAAAATTGACCGAAGTTACTATCTGATCATTTTTTCATGTTTTAATCTTATAATATGTTGTGGGTCTTTGTATGACCGTTGTGTTAGGCCAGTTGTTTTGTTCTTTCTTTCGAGCTGTCAGTGCGGAAATGATCAACATTGATCTGCTTCGCGATCTGATGCCGTCTCGGTTCATCTGCTATATATAACATATGTCTCTCTATAATTTAAGCCTAAAATGCAGAATTCTAGCCAACGTTTCTTTAATATATTGATTAATTCAATAGATAGATTTTGGTATTTATGTGTGTAACTTACCTTTATTCATTTACTGTATGATTTGTTTATGGGTAAAACAAAGACCATGCAGGTTAGGTAGTTTAAACGGTAGGCTACAAATAATTAATTCGTTATTAATTAATTAATTATTCATAATCGAAAATCGAATCGAATCGTGACTTAAGAATCGAAAATGTAATCGAATCCAGAATTTGGAGGATCGTGACACCCTTACAGCACTGGGGCCTCATGTATCAACGCTGCGTACGCACAAAAACTTTGCGTACGCCAGGTTTCACGCTCAGAATCGCTCACGTTTGGATTTACTAACGGTGAACTGAATGTGGGAATGTGCGCAGCTCCACGCCAGCTTTATGTCTGGCGTACGCACATTTTCTGTGCGTGTCTGTTTTATTTCCATTGGCGACTCCTAGAGGCAGTTGTGTTAAATTGCTCTCTACAAAGTGTCTGAGCCTTGCAATGGCAGCTGAATGAGACGGGTTCATCTAGCAGATATATAAGGTTTCCATAACATACAGTTGATCAGCCAAACATTAAAGCGCAAATTGCAGCGGTCGCCTGTTTTCCCAATGTAATCTGAGCGATCTACTGCACGCACATTGCTATAAAGACACTATCTGAAGATGAATTTGCATGCGTGAATCAGAAACATTTCCATTCAATAAATGTGCAAATAAAATATGATGCACAGACTTATTAATGATTCCTACTTGTCTTTCTCTTGATAAATAGTGGGCAAAATCTGATATGTAGCGGGGAAAAAAAGAAGAAAGAGTTCATCAGACGCTGGATTCGAGCCGAGTTCATGCTCGAACGTGTCAAAACATGTTGACATGCGTTTTTCGAGCTGCGCCACTGAGACTGATAAGAGTAATGCAACATTTACAACTATAAATCACACCATTTCTTTTTTAATTCACTCAGTGCGATGTTCAGATTTAACTGTGTTAACCACATCAGCTAAACTCTCCCACTCTATTTTTTTCTTTTGTTGTTAATTCCGGAGGACAAATTTGCAAATAACACCGCTTTTCTCCGTTCTACCTCCGAAAGCAGCACCTCCAATTCACATTCTGTTCAAAGTTTCTCTTCTTGCTTGCTTTTGCCGTTGCTTTTTCGTTGAGTTTTGCCAAAGTACAGTCATTAGCATATTCATACAGGGGAGGAGGCAGGGAGGGGTTTTGCGCTCGTGCATGTTGCGCTCAGTTTCACGTTCATTCAGATGTGCAAAAGAATATGCGTGGGATTCGGCATCTGAATTTTTTTCTGCGTACGCACATTTACAGCTTTGTGCGTACGCAATGTTTTAGTATGATTTCCACGCAAGTCTTTGTACATGAGGCCCCTGGTGTGTTTTCCTCATGTGTTTGACTGTAATGTGTGTGCTGTGATTTACAGACATTCAGCTCAGATGTTTGGTGGGATTTCAGGCTTGTGGTGAATGTGGCTTCAGTCTATTGTTATAAAACATCTCTGATGGTTTTTATGCCTTCCTGGAAGCGTGAGCTCGTGTCTCTTTGTCTTGAATTATGTAAAATGTTTTGTAGAATAAAATTATCTTGTGTGTGTGTGTGTGTGTGTGTGTGTGTGAACCAACTGCACAGAGATTGTGAAATGTGATGGAGATATTAAATGCAACTGAATTGTTCTCATGGTTTTGATGGGATTTGGAAAAGACTGGATGTTTTTGACATTAAACTCTACTGGAGAACTGAATGGTGTTTATCTTTCTGCTCTTTTACAGATCAAGAAAGCGTACAGACAGAGAGCCTTGTCCTGCCATCCAGATAAAAACCCAGATAATCCAAAGGCTGGTGAGTACTTTAGATTAGTTACTAATAGGCAAACTGCAAAAATGAGCAAATGATATGTGATAATAGGAAAGCAGATAAAGGAACATGTAGCTGTATGAAAAAGACTCAAATTTAGTATTAAAATATTATACAAAAATGTTTTTGGTTTATTTTTATTTTGGTTCTGTATTTAAGGTCATTTTAAACTTCAATTTAGTATTTGTTATAATTAAACGATAAAATTTATCATTTATTTTCATATACATTTTTTATATTTTCAACACATTTATACTTATTATAACTTTTTAAATCATATGTATGTATGTGTGTGTGTGTGTGTGTGTGTGTGTGTGTGTGTGTATATATATATATATATATATATATATATATATATATATATATATATATATATATATATATATATAGTTGAAGTCAGAATTATTAGCCCCTCTGAATTATTAGCACCCCTTAATTATTAGCCCCCCTGAATTATTAGCACCCCTGTTTATTTTTTTCATCTATGATGACAGCAAATAATATTAGACTAGATATTCTTCAAGACACTTCTATACAGCTTAAAGTGACATTTAAAGGCTTCACTAGGGTAATTAGGCGAACTAGGCAGGTTAGGGTAATTAGGCAAGTCATTGTATAACGATGGTTTGTTCTGTAGACTATTGAAATTAGTATATTCCAGTATTTGCTGGATATTCCAGTTTTGCACATTCATTTAATTAATATATTTGGATGGAAACATAGCTAATACCAACAATTCAGTCACACAAAGAACAAAGTCACATACGAGAATGGCTTGTCCTTTTTTTTAATAAATAATTAGCTTAAATTCACCGACCTTCGACAGGGACATGTACTGTAACTACATTAATGGGATTATTATTCTTTCTAAAAACTATTGTTTAGTTCTGCTTACATTCTAAATGTCATATCAACCTCTACCACTTGATTAATTATAGAGGCAGACACACGAGTGCACTGTTAAAGGTTCAGGACACCCCGGAGAACTTTTTTTTTTTATATATTAACAGATGTGTGTGTGTTGAGCATCAGTTAAGACAATGTTAGCAGCTGTCAGCTTTAATTGTGGAGGAAACTGGATAATTTTGAGCTTTTGTCAGCTAATTTCAGCTTCCGGGTTTAAAATGATTTTTGGGGCGGGATCAAAATCGGCGACGTAGCGCAGAACTGCAAGTGCAATGATGACGCGTCGGTTTCTCATTATTATTCATAGCGGAGTTTTCTTATCCTATGAGAAGAGCCGGCTGCTTAATTATTCATGAGACCTGCCAGACCTGCCAGAGTCAAGCCCGAGCTGAGAGACACGGAAACCACGGCGCAGTATTTAGCCGTTCATGAAGGCTCATATGCGTTTGTTTGCATGATCCACGGGGTTTGTTGCATGTTTTCCCCCGCGATCTTGTCAGGGCCGATCATACAGCAAAGCTGTGTGTGTGCTGCTAGCATTTTTGTCGGGAGAGCAGCACGAGAATTAGAGAATGGCGGACGCTGTCTTTTATCAGGAGTTCGTTCACATTCAGACACATCACCGTGCTGCTGTGTTTGCCTAAATCCTCCAGATTACCAGCAGGGCTAATGGTTAAAATAGACAGGTCAGGAGACCTGCTGCACTGAGTCTGCTGGATACGGGGATTGAGGGAGAATCCTCATTTATAGGGTTTACCTGACCACACTTATCTTTATAATGATATAAATTGTGGTTATGTGTATATGAAATTACCAATAACAAATGTAGCAGGGCATTAAATCACTGTTCATTTCTTTGCATTTTAACTTTGTAAACTATAAACTCATGCATCTCCTCACGGTTTGTCGCATTTTGTGAGCTAACTGACAACAACAGTTGTTCGCTCACGTTCTCCCCTGCTGGCCACGCCCACTCCTGCCCGATGCTCGCGGAGCTCCGCCCATTAATCATGCATCTTTTGAAAATATTCTGAAGTAGACTTTAACCGAAAGTGGGGGGTGTCATGGCCCTTTAAATCTATTAGAACTGATCAATGTGTATAAAAGTGGGAACGTGTGTAAAAATTTTATAAACGTCACACATTACTTTACTTATGTTATTATACTTAAATATTTACAGTCTTTAAATATAAAATTACGCGTGAACTTGAGCTGTTTTTTCATGCTAACTGTCTCTGTTTCACTGATGCAGTGGTGTTGCTTTTTTAAATATATGCTCATATTTGCTGTAACTGCATGAGCAGATCAAATTCAGCTGGAGACAGAAATGCTGATCTCTTTTTTAAGATACTACAATAGTCACTCGTAATATCTGCGCTCCATTGATAATGGCTTTTTATATTTATTTACTCTGAGTTGATCTACTCTAAGTTGATCAACCTAACTCAGATCTGCTGTTCTGAAACCAAAAACTCAGAGTTTTAATCTCTCTGTAAATCAACTCCGAGTTCAAGTTTAAACTCTGAGTTGGTTGAACCTCCTTACTGAAACAGGCCCATCTTCATCTCCCATTTATTATGGTGGCTTGCATCCAGTGTTTTGGTACATTATCGCCACCTACTGCTCTGGAGTGTGTGAGTCAGGGAGTATGTTTACAGACTAAGCTCCTGTTTACACTAATGCGGTTTAGTTTTAAAACGCAAAAGTTTTGCTACTGTTACGCCCTCCGTCCACACTACGCCGGAGTTTTCGAGTGCCGAAAACGGAGCATTTTGGAAACGCTGGAGAGGCCGTTTTCATTCTGAAACGCTGCTGCTCTGTCTCAGTGTGGATGGGGGAAAACGAAGACATCTGGAAACGGAGGCGGGGCTGCTGAGATTCGCTCCCTTATTGGGGCTTTTGTGTCATTGTGTATCCTTCCCTTATTCGTCAAGCCCCTATCACATGACTATAGTCAAGTCAAGTCAAGTCAACTTTATTGTCAATCAAACCATGCAACAGTACATTACACAGCAGACTGAAATTGCGTTTCTCCCATACTCCAATATGCAATTTAAAAACAAAAATATGACACACACTAGACATAAACTAAACATTTAACTAATAAAGTACAAGATAAATTGAATTAATAGACAATAATAAACTGTGAACAATTACCATATATCCTATTGTTCCAGAATGTGACCAAGTTGAGGTATTTATTGTAGTGCAATTAGGTGCAGTATGGCAAAAGTGCAAAGTAGCAGCTTAGAGGTAAGTGAATTTTGTAAACATGTTACACGTGCAAGGAATATTAACATAAAAACTATAACACATGGCTTTAACGCTACCGGAAGACAGCAGTCCAGCCTTCACTGTGAACAACAACATGGACACAGAAATGGGAGCGTTGTTTGCACTATTGTCTGTTTTAGGCACCATTGTGCAGTTATTCATTTGTTACGTTTAGTAACTCGACCTCGTCGCCTGTCCACAAAAATACCTCTCTTGCTTTCTTTGCCATCGCGTTAATTGTTCAACCGGCGTTTGTTGACTAACAATAACCAAATGCCGAGCGAGACACATGCTTCCTGTTTATACTAGAACACGCATCCTCAGAGTGCGCGAATGGTCACGTGATATACGTTTTTAGTGGCGTAGTGTGGACGGAGATATGTTCAGACACGCTAGGTGAAACGCTAGTGTGGATGTGGATCGTTTTTTATCCAAAATGCACTAGTGTAAACGGGGCCTTAAGCAATGGACCTCTTGTGCGGTTTAAACACATGCCACATTGCTCATGCGCATTTCAATGTACATGACGTGCTGCATGCATGACGTCACTGCACTACAGACTGCAGCCAGGACTGCTTGGATTTTTGAGGACACGTTCTCCTTAGCGTTCATGCACAAAACCCAAAACACAAAGCCGTTTTAGATCAGATACGGTGGTTAAATTCATGGGTCAAACCAGTAAAAATAAAGCCATAATCAAGCTGAGGTTTTAGTGAGCATGCTGATGAGCGCAGACAGTGACTGTAGACTGCAGTGCTTGATATGCCAGCATCAGAGCTCCAGACTCCAGCATGTGTCTCCTCTTAGACCCCCCGTCACTCCGTCTGCCCAGAACATCTGCATAATCCATGCTGGAGGAAGAAAAAACCCTCTGCGAGCACCTTTGGATGAACATGGCGTGTTTGGAGGGGCATTTTTCACTGCGGTCTCTGGAGGCCTTCAACAGTTCATGATTAAGGCAGAACTGGGCTTTGCTTTCTCTGAAATCATACAATATGCAGGGCTGTGAGCAGTGGAGGAATCTTAAAACCTTCACGCACACTGACAGAGAAATATGTATCAACTATATTCACCCAAACTTTGCTAGCAAACGTGCAATGTGCAATTTTTAATCTGTTCCTCTAGGATTTTTTCAGTCCACTGGTTCTTGAGCAAATTCTGACTCCAATTATTTGTTCAAATGTAAATAAAAGCCGAGAAATATATATATATATATACAGTTGAAGTCAGAAATATTAGCCCCCCTGTTTATTTTTTCCCCAATTTCTGTTTAACAGAGAGCAGATTTCGTCAACACATTTCTAATCATAATAGTTTTAATAACTCATCTCTAATAACTGATTTATTTGCTCTTTGCCATGATGACAGTAAATAATATTAGACTAGATATTCTTCAAGACACTTTTATACAGCTTAAAGTGACATTTAAAGGCTTTACTAGATTAATTAGGTTAACTAGGCAGGTTAGGGTAATTAGGCAAGTTTTTGTATAATGATGGTTTGTTCTGTAGACTATTGCAAAATATATAGCTTAAAGGGGCTAACAATGTTTATCTTAAAATAGAAATAAAAAATTTAAAACTGCTTTTACTCTAGCTGAAATAAAACAAATAGGACTTTCTGCAGAAGAAAAAAATATTATCAGACATACTGTGAACATTTCCTGAATCTGTTCAACATCATTTGGGAAATATTTAAATAACAAAGAAAAAATCAAAGGCGGCTTAATAATTCTGACTTTATACACAAATAAAAATATTTCACATTTGATATAGAATTTTTTAAATATTTGTTTCTTTTCCAACGGTGTAAAATTTAACATTTCATCGTAATGTCAAAAAAATGCTTCTAAATCATCACATTGGCACACATCTCCACTCTGTGTGGTGTAGCATTATTTAGCCGATTCAGATTTTGTGTGATTTTTTTGGTCTTTCCTGCTGTCAATGGAGCAGTCCGGCGAAATGACGAAGAAAGCTGATCCTGATTAGTCCTCGTGCGTGCATTAAGGCTGAATTTACACTGCAGATCTTGATGGTCAATTCCGATTTTTTGACTGTATCCGATTTTTTTGCTGACCTGCTTACATCATCTTTTAAAAGTGACTCGTATCAGATCGTCTGCATTTACACAGCAAATGGCAAAGGCACAATGACCAGGAAAAAGAGACGGGCGCTGACTAACAGCTGATTATTAAAAAATGCTCTTTTCTCTATTCCTGTATGTAATCTGTTCGCAGCTTTTGACAAGCTGTTTTACTCTAGTTTATGACAGAAAGCTTCTCATTTGTCCATCTTCTTTTGATATGTAGGCTTTTTTAAACCTTTAGGCATCTTAAAGTAATGTCCATGCCGTGATTTATGCACTGATGTATGCACTAGTTTTATATTAATTTATACTGGTTACATGGCGGACATTGCACTCTCTCGCTCTCGTTAACATGCTTATATACCTGTGCTATATGACAATATAAAAGCTGTTTAAGTCCTCGTGTTTGAGATTTAAGGTTTGGGACTCTGCTGAAGTCTGTTCTGAAATGAAAGTGTCAGACTTGACGTCATACGCTATGGTTTTTAATGATGCGCGACTCGCATTGACAGGTGAAAATCTGATCTACCTGCTTACACTGCAGACACGAGTACACAGATCTGATTCATATTGGGTACATTTCCACATATGAACAAGGCCTGAATCTGATTTGAGTAAATCGGAATCCATGTGATTTGTTCCTGCTTACATGTACATTTGCCATATCCCATCTGTGCCACATGGGAGGGAAAAATCTGAATTAAGTCACTTGAACAGTGCAGTGTAAATGCAGCCTACAAATGCTGATTGGCCCGCAGAAAGAACATTTCAGAGCCATGCTAGAGTTTGACTTTGTAGATAAACCATTTTCATTTTTTAAATAAAAAGTCTGAAAAAATGTAAACAACTCATAAAAAACATCATATAATGTAAACAAGCTGTCATTTAATACGAATATGTCAATTACTGAATTTTGACATGTCAGATAGAACCTTATAACTCTAAACTGGAGAAAAAATTCTTAAGGGGGCTAATAATATTGACCATAAAAATGGGTTTAAAACAATTAAAAACTGCTTTTATTCTAGCCAAAATAAAACAAATAAGACTTTTTCCAGAAGAAAAAATATTATTGGAAATACTGTGAAAATTTAGCAAATATTTGAAATAAAATAATCGAATAATTCTGGCTTCAACTGCAGGCTTTTCTTCTTGTTATTTCAGCACATCAGCTTGTCTTGGACTGAATGAACGGCAGTGGTATGTTCTTGGCAGGCCGCTGAAATAAATAGCTTTTTTTAATAGTGTAGTGTAATGTCAGTCTGCTAGGGGTGAAGCGGGGGTCTGTTCACATGTGGAGCGGGTTGCGTGCGGCGCTCTGCTCTGTCTAATCACGCAGGTATCGCTGTAACCGGAGCCTCCGGCTGGCCGGGCCTCCCTGTGGGCTGAAAGCGGAGCCGCAGACGCTGTTAGTGGCCGTCATTAGGGCTCCGGGGCCCTGCGGGCGCTCTGATTGCTGCGGCGGCCCCTCGTGTGCTGCTGCGGGACCCCTGCGCTCACAGCAGGAGATCATTACAGAACAGCTTTCGTGAGAGCCGAGACACCCTGAGCTAATGCAGGAAACCTGTTCACTGGTGGTGTGCTGTTAGCTCGCACACATATACATACACACGCATACACTGCAGCAACAATAAACCTGCTGCTTCTGGATAGAGAAATACTAACACACTGATGTGTGCACACACGCGTGTATATATACACACACACACAAATGTGAGCAATTTTGCAATTACAGTGCATCCGTAAGGTATTGATAGCGCTTCACTTTTCCCAATTTTGTTTATGTTACAGCCTTATTCCAAAATGCATTCAATTCCTTTATTTCCTCAACATTTTACACACAGAAATTTTTGCAAATTCATCAAAAAAAACCTGTAAAATCAGATGTACATCAGTATTCACAGGCTTTGGCGTGAAGCTCTAAATTGAGCTCGGGTACATTCTGTGTCCACTGATCATTCTTGAGATGTTTCAGCAGCTTCATTGGAGTTCACCTGTGCTCAATTCAGCTGATTGTACATAATGTGAAAAGGCTACACCTGTCTATATAAGGGCCCAGGGTTGACAGTGCATGTCAAAGCACAAACCAAGCATGAGGACAAAGGAATTGTCTGTAGACCTCTGAGACAGGATTGTCTATAGGCACAAGGCTCGGAGGTTACAGAAACATTTCTGCTGATCTGAAAGCTCCAATGAGCACAGCGGCCTCCATCATCCGTAAGTGGAAGATGTTTGACCACCTGGAATCTTCCTAGAGCTGGCCGGCCATCTAAGCTGAGTGATAGGGGGAGAAGGGCCTTAGTCAGGGAGGTGATCAGTCACCCGATGATCACTCTGTCTGAGCTCCAGCGTTCTTCTGTGGAGAGAGGAGAACCTTACAGAAGGACAACCATCTGTGCAGCAATCCACCAATCAGGCCTGTATGGTAGAGTAAGAATGGGTTTTAACCACAACGGTTCAAACTCTGCCAAGTGACTAAAGAGTTATCAGTATGTTGGTAAAAAACTGTCCATTTCTAGTCAAACCATTCTTCTGCAATCTCATACCAAGAACGAAAATAAGGGCAGTATTATTAGCTATAAATGTGGGAGAGCGTTGATATTATGTGATTGTATTGTATTGCAATATGGAGTAATTAAGTGTTGATGTTAAATCAAAAGTAATTCACAAATAATTGAATATGAGATGATTTAATGACAATAATTCTCTATGGTCACAACTGAATTACAAAATAACTGTATAAAATGATAAAATATGACATGATAAAACGTATGACATAAATTGTAGCCAGCTTAAATGTACAATTAAAGTTACCAGAGGTGGAAGGAGAGACACAGGGGGAGGGAGAGAGAGACAAAGAGAGCAGGTCCAGAAGTTAGCCTGACTGCAGTAGAGTCAGAGAAGATAGACTCCAGAGGAGGAAAGGAGAGGAGCAGAGCAGAAGGGTGCAGACCAGGAAAAGAGAGGCCAGGAAAAGAGACAGAGCAAAGTTTTCCAACTATTTTGTATCTTTCTTGACCATGTGACTAAAGCCCAAATGCTGAGACATTCAAACTGGCCAATCAACATGTGACCACATCATACAACCCCAAAAGTCCACACACCAGGCCCTGATCTAATCAGTATTATGCCTTTTGGAGTCAGCATGGACCTTCTTTAGTCAAAAAGACATGTTTTGTCATATAAACAAATGCATATGATCATTTAGCCTCTTACAATAGATCCACCAATCAGGCCTGTATGGTAGAGTGGCCAGACTGAAGACACTTCCTATCTGGAGTTTGCCAAAAGGCATCTGAAGGACTCTCAGAGCATCAGAAACTAAACTCTCTGCTCTTATGAGACTCAAATTGAACTCTTTGGAGTGAATGCTAGACGTTGCGTTTGGAGAAAAGCAGGCAGCACTCATCAGCAGGCTAACAGCATCCCTACAGTGAAGCATGGTGGTGTTGGCATCATGCTATGAGGATGTTTTTCAGCAGCAGGAACTGGAAGACTAGTCAGGATAGAGGGAAAGATGAATGCAGCGATGTACAGAGACATCCTGAATGAAGACCTGCACAAGAGTGCTCTTGACCTCAGACTGGGGCGACGCTTCATCTTCCAGCAGGACAATGACCCAAAGCACACCGCCAAAATATCGATGGAGCGGCTTCACAACGACTCGGTGAATGTCCTTGAGAGCCCAGCCAGAGCCCAGAGCTAAACCCTATTGAACATCTCTGTAGAGATCTGAAAATGGCTGCACACTGCGCGTCCCACCTAACCTGATAGAGCTTGAGAGGAACTGCAAAGAGGAATGGGCCAAAAATCCCAAATTCAGCTGTGCCAAGCTTGTGGCATCATATTAAGAAAGACTTGAGGCTGTAATCACTCCAAAGGTGCATCAACAAAGTGTTGAGCAAAGCCTGTGAATACTGATGTACATGTGATTTTACAGCTTTTTTTATTTTTTATAATTTTACAACAATTTCAAAAACTCTTCTTTCTCATTGTCATTATGGGGGATTGTGTGTAGAATGTTGAAGAAATAAATTAATTTAATCTGTTTTGGAATAAGGCTGAAACATAAACAAAGGAGTGAAAAGTGAAGCGCTATCAATACTTTCCAGATGCACTGTATATTTGCTCTTCATTTTCATTAAACATGAGCATAAAATAAAAATAGACAGTTTTGACTTAATTTTTAACATTTTTTACCTTTTTAACTATAATTTTGAGTCCTACAATGTATTCAGAAAGCTCTCAAGAAGGGTGTTGTGCTTGAATATTTGCGCTATTTGTGTTTACACAGGAGTGTATTTTGTGCATCAGATGTGCACTTTTGTAACTGTGTCACTGTGTTGATTGAGATTTTCTGTGTTTGTGTGCGTGCGTGCGTGTGTGTGTTTAGCGGAGCTCTTCCACCAGCTCTCTCAGGCTCTGGAGGTTCTGACTGACGCTGCTGCTAAGGTGAGAAACACCCAATTTAATAGAGATCTTTCCATATGCATCATAAAACACTACACATATTTACACGGGTCAGTGCTTCTAAAGCTCCTTTACTTCACTGTCCACTGTTTTATTCCAGAAAGAGCTTCATGTTTTGTTAGACCCACTTTATATTAGGTGGTCTTCACTACTATGTGCTGCTTACATCAAGATATTAACACTGGGAATATTCTCCTGGGAATAATATAAAAGGCGCTGTTGACATGGAACTGAACCAGATATGGTGAAAACCCAAACAATACAAACATAAAAATAAAACAAAACTGAAAAAATTGTACAAATAGTTGTGTAATGATACGATGGAATGATAGAAGGAGAAAGAGCTGAACTACTGAAGCGTGTTTAATACTTTAAAAGGCTTCATTAATGATGGCGGCTTAAAGACGCCTCTCATATGGAGAATAAAGCCACATGCATTGCTCAGGTGTGAGTTTCTCAAAGACTTCAACAGAGTGTCAAAATCTTGATGCTTCTGTGGGTCTCATCTCTCAGATCTGAGCTTTATTCTGTGTTTTCTATTGGATTGGTTGGGCCATTCTACAGCTTGATTTTCTTTCTCTGAAAGCATCTGAGAGTCTCCTTGGCTGTGTTTTTGATCATTGTATTGCTGAAATGTCCACCCTGGTTTCATCTTCATCCTCCTGCTAATGTATATGCTGGACTGAAGCAGCTGATATTCATCTACACCAGGGGTTTTCAAAGTGTGGGGCGGGCCTCCCCTGGGGGGCGCCAGAGCATGTCAGGGGAGGCGCGGGAAAAAATATAATATAATAAAAATATAATTATTAAGTTTAATTATTATATGTATTTTTTATTATATTTAAACGTTTTAATTAAACAAAGCAAACAAAAAATACGTCAAATATAAGAAAACCTTTTTTACCCAGAAGGCCATAGCTGTGAATTCGCTTCTGTTTGGCAAGCCCGCCAATACAGGTATATGCCTGCTAATACAATGGGTCGGTTTCTGAGACCCCCGATTCAAAGCTGTAATGAAGTTCACGGCCCTTTGGCTACCGGGAAAAAGGAGGCGGAGAACCGAAGCAGTTTTAAAGTGATTTATTAATGACAGTGACGGCAGCTCCGTCTAAACCAAAACAAACGGACGGCAGCTCCTCACGGAGACTGCCGTCAAACTGAAAGCAAAAGTAAAATATGTCCGGGTCCGGTCCTCTCTCGGCTTCCTCTGCCCTCGTTCCTCCTTTTATGATCCAGAGCTCCTTCCGTGGGATCCGAGGCAGGTGCGCACCGCAGGTGTATCCACTTACGCGGTGGCCTCACTCCGTTCCCACGACGCTCGGCCACGGCCCCTCGCCACAAAAGCCTTCAAGTTCAGGGCTTAAACCCAAAAGACGACGATATGATGATCAGTATTTGAGTTTAGGATTTACGTGGACAGGACCAGCTGATGAACCACGACCTTTATGTGTGGTTTGTCAAAATATTTTTAGAGACCCGCTAAACTTCCACTGTTTTGACTGGGATGGACAGTTCTTGGATCTGTTCTATTCATATTGAACCATCATCCTAGTTTTAAAAACGTTATATTAAAATACTTGTTACTCTGTAAATAATTGCACTTTCATGCAAATGATGATAAAAGTGAGTTAACAGTCTGACATCTGTCTGTGTCTTTATATATACTGTATGTGTATATATATATATATATATATATATATGTATGTGTGTGTGTGTGTGTGTGTGTGTGTGTGTGTGTGTGTGTGTGTGTGTGTGTGTTTGGGAGGAGGGGGGCGCCAATGGATAAGTTGTGTCAAAAGGGAGGCCCACTGTCTTAGACTTTAAAAAACCCTGATCTACACTGAGGAACGGCAGAGGGCTGCTGAAGAACTACTGAGAGATTTCAGCTGCTGTCTGGGCTTTCACTGCCCAACTACTCCTCCCTTTCTTCATGTGTTCAATACTTCCCCCCTGTGTCATTTCATTTTATTACACAAAACTTAATTTGCAAACTAATTAGATTTGTTTTCTTTGCATACATGGCATTCCTTGGTTGTTATCAACATCTAGGGAGACATTTCAAGTCAACAGCGCCTTTAGAAATGTGTTTAGGCGATGTGTTAAACACTTATTTTCACCACTGTAACGTGTTGCAAGAACACTAAAATGAATGAATGTTAACTAATACATTATTAACATCCAAATTGATGCTTCAAGACTGGATCTATGATTCTTCTTAAGACAATTAAAGCAGTGGTTCTCAAACTGTGTGGTACGCGGGCTTCCTTCTAGTGCAGGGGTGTCAAACTCAATTCCTGGAGGGCCGAAGCCCTACACAGTTTAGTTCAAACCCTGCTCCAACACACTGACCTGTAGGTTTCAAACAAGCCTGAAGGACTCAATTAGTTTGATCAGGTGTGTTTAATTAGGGTTGGAACTAAACTGAGTTTGACACCTGTGTTCTAGTGGTACACGGAGATATCAAATATGTCATATATACATGCTACATATATTTCAAAATTGATCAAAAATGATTTATATATGAATGTGACATGTAATATTATTTATTATATGACATTTAGCCTATATTTCTGAGGTCCAGGCAACATTTCCAGGTGTTGATGAATTGGCTACTATATGTTAATACTTTACATTTAATTTCAGCACTTTTCTTTTTACTTTTTAAAGGGCCATGAAACCCCCTCGTTTCAGCAGGGTGTTTTCACACCTCTACTTTGGAAAAAGTCAGAAAAGTGGGCGTGTCCAGCTCTGTTTAGGGGGGAGTGTCGGAGGAAGAAAAGTGGGAGGGTGTGGGAGTGTCTATTTGGGCACGCGCGACTTTCAGAGTCAAAATACTCACACACAGTAGAAAGTGATGGTGTTTAACCTACATGGACATCTGTAGTCAAATTATTTGCCAAATTATTAAATGTTGGACTTTAACTGCAGTTTGGCTCTTTCATTCAGGGAATTCATTCATGCCCCTCGCGACAAACGAGATATTTGATTCGAGGAACGGCTGTAAGCGTGTATTTTTCATGCAATGTTTGATACCGCACGGCGAATGAGAGAAAAAAACCCTCCGCATTTCCCGGAAACTTAGATGCACACGGCAGGTAGCGTCAGAAAGCCGCGTGTGTTATTCCGGTCATTAAATGCAGTAAAACCCTACACGAGGTTAAAGTTTGGTTGTGGTGCTAACATGTTTACACTCAGTGCAATAGTTAACTTAGTTCGATACGAACAAACTGAATAAACAAAGAGCACTGGTCACTCGCTTACCAAATCTGTAGAGACAGGACAATCACCAGCAACTAGAGCCGCGTCTTTATTAAGAGGAGACTACAAGCGAATCCGGATCTCAGCGTTTGCAGATGAGAACAGCTCTCAGGTAAACAATAATCCTCCTTAGACACGTAAGTTATTGTTGTCGAGCATCACGTACACTGTTAATCCACACGTGAGTCTGAGCTCTCACAGAGAGAAAATGAAAACAAAACTTAACTGCAGCAAACTCTAAAAGCAACACTTCACGCTTGTTTTACCAACACAACGGGGCGTCTCTGTCGTCTAAACACTGACAGTAATGAATATTAATGAAGTTGCACAATAGAGCGCGCTGATTGGTTTGAACCAAGCCTTACTCATGCATTAATGCATCACACTGTAAGACGTAATAAGACACACTCTGGCACAGACGTCCAGTCTGCACGCTGGAATACACGCTATTATGTCATGACCGTGACGCAGCTTCAAAAATTAGTTTCAAACCGGAAGTACGAATTTGCTTGAAATAACGCAAAAACAACCAATTTACACTTTTTAGTGAAATATAGGTGTCCTAATAGTGTTTTTAGCAGTGTGGTACACATTTACGACTGTCAACAGCTCAACACATGTGTTTTGGTGTTTCGTGACCCTTTAAGAACATCAACCTACCATTTTTAACTTTTAAAAGCACATTTTAACTTAAATGTTGACGTTTTTAGTTTGTTTCTTTTTTACAAGCACAGTACAGTGGTAACATACAGACTATTTATAATGTTTAAAATGGCTGACAATAATAAATATTCTTAATAATAGAAACTATTCTGCCACATTTGAGAACTGCAGAGATGTAGCTGCTTTACTTGGTTTACTACGCTACTGTATTACTCATTATTGTGGTACTTGGAGAGACAATTTTTTTCTGAGGTGGTACTTGATGAAAAAAGTTTAAGAACCACTGAATTAAAGAAATAAATTATAATAGGAAGTATCTGGATATTCAGTTGTTTTTGGCTTATTTTAAGGCATGTTTTGTTCTATTTTCATTCAGTTAGTCATCTAGAGCAGTAGTCCCCAACCTTTTTCTAACTGCGGACCGGTCAACGCTTGACAATTTTACTGCGGACCCGGGGGTTGAAATAATAATAATAATAATAATAAACGTGAATCCACTGTGTACTCATATGGATCTTCATTAGCACATTGCTCCAACATTACAATGCTATTATAACATTAGGAAGTAATAACTTTGTTAATACATTGCTCCAACAATATAACATATTATAACATCAAAAACTTTTCCCAGAGATGGGTTGCGGCTGGAAGGGCATCCGCTGCGTAAAAACTTGCTGGATAAGTTGGCGGTTCATTCCGCTGTGGCGACCCCAGATTAATAAAGGGACTAAGTCGACAAGAAAATGAATTAATGAACATCAAAAACTGTCCGTAACGCTAAATCAATGGGAGCCCTGAGCTTGTTTCTTTGCAAACGAGATGGTCCCATCTGGGGGTAATGGCAGAAGGAAGATTGCTGGAAAGAGCGCGTGCACGTCTAGAACGTGCTGACGTGAGACGTCTGCTTTAGCCAATCAGAACAGTCAGACGCATTCACGTCCGCGCAGTTAATGAGAATAAAAGCCTTTGAATATTTTTCCAGACACATTCAGCTGCTAGAAATTAGTCAGATCACGTTTATATGTTCTTCTTAATGCCAACCGTGTAATTAATTATCGATAAGATGCTTATGATAAGCCGTTGTTTGTTTACCTTCAAGCTTTGCGTGTGCCTGTGAAACAGCCTGTGAACGCCAGCACACACACATATATCATGTACATCTCGACATGCGAAAGTGTTTCTGCCATGACTTTAATCCAGAACACCGGCAGAGTTGTTGTCTCGAACACTGTTTTAAGGCTGTCGTCATTTGCGATCTCCAGCAGTTGGTCTTCTTCTTACTGGATTCAGCTGGTTTGTTGACAAATGGTCTACGCATTCATTCCTTGGCCGTTTGGTCATTTGAGGTTGGGAAGTAGCGCTCAAACTCCTTTAACAGTGAAGACTGGTGATCGTGCACCAGCTTGGTGAGGGCGCAAGCTCAGTCTCACACAAAATCCCTGTTAATGTTTGAAACATGTCCAATATGTCTCTGTTCATGCGCCGTCCCCACAAATCCAGTTTGGCTTTAAATGCAGCTACTTTATCTGCCAACTTAAAGAAAATTAATTCTTGTGCGGCCCGGTACTGATTGATGCACGGACCGCTACCGGTCAGCGGTTCAGGGGTTGGGGACCACTGATCTGGGGGAAACTCATGTTCATTTGAGGATTTGGTTTTATTCGTTCAGGCTGCATACGACAAAGTCCGAGCGGCAAAAAAGCAAGCGGAGGAGAGAAACAGAAAACTTGATGACAAGAGGAAGAAGATTAAACTCGGTAAGTTCTTTATTTTATGCTCAATTACACGGTTTCTAGTCCAGATATCTAAAACTTCTTAAATGAAGAAGACAAGTAAACATTTGACTTGTTTTAGAAAAAAAGTAAGCTAAAATTAAGCAGTTTTTTCTTTTAAACAAGCTAAATTATAATGACAACTTGGTTTTTGTATTAATTTTAGGGTATTTGCTGGGGTCTTTAAAATGTCTTCAATTAAAAAACTACATTTCAGACCAGTGTCATTTTAAATGGGTCTTAAATTTCCTGTCAACACACTAACAATCCATCTCAATAAAACCTTTACATTTTTAATTATTATACAAGTTTTTATTGCAATTCACAAAATCTGTTAGACTTTTTTACAGCAACTTTTTCAAACAGAACTTTGTCCAAACTACGCCTCACAACTAAACATAAGCGAGAAGTGACATAGAAACAAGGTCGAGTTGTATATGTTTTGTAATTAACTACATAATGAGAAAGAAGCCTTCATTGGGGTCGAACATGTACTATTTTGGTCACCTGGCTTTTTCAACGTTTGCAACTTTTTTCTGTTTCGAGCCAGTTGTACAGTATTGCTCAGATGACACATCAGACTGACACAAATTTTTATAAATTTTCTAGTTTTTCCCTCCGTTTCTTGGGTCCAAATAAAATGAAAATGAGCACTTTTACCTTCTCCCCCAACCTCCTGCTGGCCTGCAGGTACCCGTACCAGTTCATGCTGCTCTCTCATTGGCTGTAGGTGATCGCCAATGTTATTTTTAACCAGAAGACATTCACACAGCATTAAGGGTGTCACGATTTCAAAATCGATCGAAATTCATGCTCAATTTCGATTATCGAATCAAAAAATGCAATCGTCGATGCTGCCACACCCCCATGTCATGTGAGCTTGGCTTGCCAAGCGGAAAAAAACAAGTTTGTTGAAGAGCTTGTTGAACTGCAGACGCAGGAGACCCGTCGACAGAGCTTAAACCCTTTCATTTTTCAATGAAGTCGCCGGTGTGAAAGTATTTTGGATTTCCAGTGAGTTACGCCACATTCACACGGGCTTCAGCGTCAACGGGCTAAAACGATCGTCATAGAATTCAGTCAGCAATAGGCCACTGTCTAGCTGGTGTATTTGCATACAACGATCTGATTGGCTGACGCTTCCCTCGGCCCTTGAAAAGTTGAGCTAGTCCCAACTTCTGCAGCGAGCAACGCCTCTGAAGCGGCGCTGACGGATCCACAATGCAGTTAGGCAACGCATGACGTCACCCATTCAAAGTGAATGGGAAGCGTTGACGCTGACGCCCCGTGTTCGTGTTGTCGAAAAAAAAAAAAAAACAGTTTGCAAGCTCTGCTATGTATTAGGGTTGGGCCGATAGACAACACCGGCATCGCGATCCTCCGCCCCGCCCCCGTTGCAAATCCGCTCGCGAAAAATACACACTCAGGCCCTGTTTACATTAATAGGTCGTAGTTTTTAAATGGCATTTTATAACGATAACGATACACATCCACACTGGCGTTTTGCATTTCTGAGCAGCCCTCCTTCCTCACTGCCGCTGAACACGCACATCACGTGACCACACACAGAGACGCACACGCATTGTCGTGCGCTCGAGACAGCGGGTCTAGGCAGTCAGCGGGTCAGTAGACTGCTTCAATCTTTCACTTTCACACTTGTACTTGGTAGTTTTAGCGAACACCTCAGATACTCTTGGCTGGTTCCTGTTGGTTGTGCAACTTTTTATAACGACGCCATTATAAGGACACAGATCATATTCTATTCACGAGTCCCGCGGAAAAAGTGATTGACAGGTGGCAATTATATGTGTAACTTACCTTTATTCATTTACTGTATGATTTGTTTATGATTTTGTTTAATTTTTCTTTTTTAAATCACAATCGAATCGAACCGTGACTTTAGAATCGAAAATGTGATCGAATCGAAGATTTGGAGGATCGTGACACCCTTAAACAGCATGCTTTGAATCACCGACAGATCCAGATATTTGGCATGCCAAATATCTCACAGGCATCGGCGATTCTCTCAGATGGCGTCCTTGATAGTTCACACTGTTTGATTGTCACTCGAGTGAACGAGCACCGATTTGCCTGTGAACTCATTTGATTTTGAGTTGTTTTTTGCTGTTTATTATGTTAATCGATTTAAATGTCATGATATTGTGTGTGTTCTGCAGACTTGGAGGCACGTGAACGGCGGGCAGAGAATGTAAAAGCAGAAGAAGTTAAAATCACACGTACATTAGAAGAAGAGGTGAGAGCTGCGGAAAAAATTCCCACAGTATTTCCTATCATATTTTTCTTCTGGAGAAAGTCTTATTTTTTTTATTTCGGCTAGAATAAAAGCAGTGTTTAATTATTAATATATCATTTTAAGGTCAATATTATTCGCCCCCTTAAGCAATATTTGTTTTGGATTGTCTCCAGAACAAACCACTGTTATACAATGACTTGCCTAATTTCCTTAACTTTACCCTAATTAACCTAGTTTGGCCTTTAAATGTCACTTTAAGCTGTATAGAAGTGTCTTAAAGAATATCTAGTAAAATATTATGTGTTATTAGAAATGAGTTATTAAAGCTATTATGTTTAGAAATGTGTTGGCAAAATCTGCTCTCCGTTAAACAGAAATTGGGGGAAAATATACTGGGGGGCGAACAATTCAGGAGGGCTTATAATTCTGCTTTCAACTGTGTAACCTATTATGTGCACACTCATGCAATGTTAGTTCAGTGAGCGGCCTGTAGGGGTCAGTGTTTGGCGTGTGTGTCTGACAGATGGATTACTGTAGGTCAGACTGGAAAAAGCAGGACATTCTACAGCACTACTCTTTGTTTATGCTTATAATAATTATAGGAATGTGCGTGTGCATGTGTGTGTGTGTGTGTGTGTGTGTGTGTGCATATGTGTGTGTGTGTGTGTGTTGTAGATTGCCAGACTGAGAGAAGAGGGTTCAAGAGAACTACAGGAGCAGCAAAGACTCATACGAGAGCAGATCGAGAGAGAGAGAGACGCTCACACACACACAGGTGATGAAACACACACATAACGCACATATGATGAACACAGATATATCACACTCACAGATACACATGATGGATACACACAAAGAATATCACAACGGCGAACACGGCAAGTATAAAAGCCTCGTCCGCTCGGTGAGGTGCGCGACGCGACACCCTGAGTCCAGCTTCAGGGTGTACTCACTAGGAATGGTTGTCATGAACCATGAAGAAACTACGGTGACCGGGAAGTGCAAAACAACATTACAAAGTGTGAAACACTTTTACAAAGCTCGAGACAAATTTACATTTTAAAAAACATTTTTACTTATCATCAGACACAATTACATAGGAAAAACAATTTCACCAAGGACAAAACAAATTTACATTTTAGAAAAATATGTACAAGACGCAAAACACTTTTACAAATCCCGAAACAAATTTACAATTACAGATTCCCTACAGAAAGGGCATGTACCACACACCGGAAGTGACGTGAATGTACCACACCGTGAGTGACGCGGGGAAAATTTGTTGTTGTTGCTGGTGAGCGCGGTAAATTCGTGCTGTGGAGTACATGGTGTAAACAAGGTTTATGGTGACCGAACATGGTCAGCGGTCGAGGGTTGTTTTGCGGCAAACACATGAGCAGCTTAAAGCCTGGTTTATACTTCTGCGTCAAGTGACCGGCGTAACCCACGGCGCAGGCAACGTGCGTGGCTGTGCATTTATACTTCTGCTGCTGTCTCTGTTGGTCTCCATTAACACTTCCGAATCGCTAGTTGGCAGTGAGGTGTAAATGTTCCTCTGTGTCGAGTTTCTTCGCTGCTGTTTTGCTTTTTCTGAACACTTCCTGGATGTACAAGTGGCTCAAACTCGCTCATTTTGAGGCAGGAACCGGCGGACGTGCAACAACTTTAACTATGAGGTAAACACAAAACAAAACTTTCCATCCGGAGCTCCTTCACGGGACTCCACACTTGTAAACAATCGCTCGCGCCATTCGCGCAGCTCTCGGTCTCGCCCAGACTCGTCAGCGCTACCAAGCCGACCAATCACAGAGCTTGCGCTACACGTTGCTGCGACGTGTAGTTACATTTTTTGAGAGGTGCACGTCAGTGACGGCGATGGCCACGGCGAAGGGCTATGCGTCAGCGCCGTAGCATACGCCGACGTTTGACGCAGAAGTATAAATCAGCCTTAACGCAGTTTTGCTTTACGTGTGGTCGGTGTTTAGAGTTTATAAAGGATGCGGAGCAGACCGAAACACCAGACATACTGCATCAATGTGTTCAATATTTTAACGAGGGCCACTCTTACGCTGTATTCGTGGATGTAATGTCCAGTCTACACGGTGTAAACCTCTGCTTGAGGACTCTTAACAGTAAACTGAATGAAGCCGGTGTTATGGTTTAACTGGTGTCTGTGTTAACTGAGGCCCTTTTCAGATGTAAACTATTCACGTTTGCAGATTCGTCACTTTTTCAAAGCAACAAAACCGAATAAAGATTCTTAATACTTGGTGTCAGTGTACACATTATTGATTTTAATATCTGTGTAGCAGAACAGTGTAAACCAAAATGAATGTAAAGAAATGATTTTAATTGACATGTCATCAACGGGATTCGAACCCAAGCCAAAGGTTCTGAGTATGTAACAATCGACCTATCTAACTGAGCTACTCGGATCTACAGGTTAGGGCGGTTTTGATATCTTTATCAGTGACATGTGCCGTGCTTTGATTGTTTTTACACACTCTCACGCCGACATTTTCTCAGATAGCTCTAATATGTTTTTATCGCATTTGGTCAAACCATGATTTTTATAGTTGTAGACTCGTGAAATCCTGTCTACAAAGTCACACGAGCTGGATATTATTGATATTTTCCAGTGTGTGTGGTACATTGACGTCACTTCCGGTGTGTGGTACATTCCCTTTCCGTAAGGAATCTGTAATTCTACATTTGTTTCGGGATTTGTAAAAGTGTTTTGCATCTTGTTAATTTTATTCTAAAATGTAAATTTGTTTTGTCCTTGGTAAAATAGTTTTTCCTCTGTAACTGTGTCTGATGATAAGTAAAAATGTTTTTCAAAATGTAAATTTGTCTCGAGCTTTGTAAAAGTGTTTCACACTTTGTAATGTTGTTTGGCACTTCCCGGCCACCGTAAGAAACACATGAGAGAGAAACTGATGATGAGGAGCAGATCTGCTGAATGACGGAGGACTGACTGACTGTAATATTGCATAAAACATTAGTGAAGAAAGCAGCGTTTCCATCCAATGAGAATCAAAAGAGAAGGAAATCAACACCTCCTGCCAAACATGCACAGATATTGCTAAGGGAAGTGTAGTTTGATGCACTCTTCTCCACTGTAGTGCTTGTTCTTATCTTGATTGATTGATCCATTTAGATCAGCCTACTCTCTCTTATGGCTCATTTCCACTGAGTGTTACATTACGGTCCGGTTCGGGTCGGTACGGGTCACCTTTATCAGGCTTGCATTTCCACTACCAAGGGTACCCTTTTGGTGGGCATGGTGTATGACAAAGAGTTTCAGTTGACGTCATTCTCGCTCGAATAAATGTCTACAGTAAAGCTGTACGGGTCGTCCACAAATCATATGAGAAGCACTCCTCACAACACAGATGCTGTACACACATAAATACTGTATAAATGTTCATCACTAACCTTTCTATGAACATGATTTGATTATAACTGCAGATCAATGACAGTGCAAATTAGCCTACTGTAACATATGTGATCATATAAAATAAATAAATAAATGAACATATGAACACACACAGACCCTTACATTCTCAGATATGTTACCAATTTCAGAAGAACCACACACAGCAGACATTTAGTGCTTATTTGGGTTAAAAAAAAAAATCATGCAACTGTCAGCGCAGATCTCTCATCTGTGTCTGTAATCTTCAGCAGCACATGTAGTCTCTATTAGAGAGTCATTCCATCATTCCCAGTTCAGAATAGTCCAGAAGGTGATGATAAGCATGGCAGTTTGTTCATGATTCAGGTTGCTAAAACAATTTGCTCCTGAGTTTTGTCGGGCTTCTCCTTTGTTCGCGCTTCACCCTCGCGTTTGTCCTTTTCTTTCTGAATGTGTCACTCTCGCGTTTGTCAGTGTCTGACAGGATCGGGTTTCAAAAGCAGGTCAATAATCAAGCGCACGGTATTATCATCAGCTCAAGAAGTTTGTTATTACGGATATAGACGCACACGCGAGCACAAGCAAGAAAGCGAAACCGAGACTGGCTCAGTAAAAAAACTACGGGGCACAGGGTAAATCTGCTCTTCTTTTTGGCTTTGTGGCTGTTCATCAAAGCCGGAGCACACTTTCATCATCGATGATGCGCCTGTTCAGTTTAACAGAAGAGAAGTGCTCTCGCTCAGCACAGCGGACATTGCTTTAGTTATGTTGTTGTGTATTGTGTTAAGTGGTTTGATATGCAGTGACACACTGTCAAATCTTTTGCTGATCAGATCCTGCACTTTTGACGCTCATAAAGTCCTCATGCTGCAGGTGTGAGCAGTTTTGCTGAAGGTGCAGCTGATGGTCAGCAGGGGGCTTGTATCTTTAATGAACTATGACAGTTTGCGTTCATTGAAAAGTAAGACTTCAAGATTAATAAATCCATATGAAACAGTGACGTCACGTCTTCAGTTTCACGCTTAGGTGCACTTTGCCAGAGTTTGTGTGATTTTTGATAGATTAACAGCATGTGTTTTGACTCCTGGGCTGATCTTCTAACTCATTTTTCTTCTTTCTTCATCTTCACAGACTCATCTGCAGTGCAGCAGGGCGGCAACAACGTGACACCAAAACTGAAGGTATTTGTGTGTGTGCATGTGCAATAGAAAGGATGCAGTCTTGGATTTTTACTTGCTTTATGTGATGTGTGTAAATATTCTAGATTACTTGTATAGGTTCATTAATATATTATACAATATATTTAATATTAATTGATGGTCTGGTTATTGAATATATTTTGATTATCGCAACCTAAATGCAATTGATCATAATAAAATCAAAACTTCATGAATTATGCACTACTTGTCTCTAATAAATAAATTCATAAATAAATAAATAAATACTGATATACAGTGGGGGAAATAAGTATTGAACACGTCACTATTTTTCTCAGAAAACACATTTCTAAAGGTGCCATTGACTTGAAAATGTTATCAGATGTTGGAAACCACTAAAGGAATCCATATATGTAAAGAAAACAAAATTAATTTGAGCAAATGATGTTTAATAAAATAAAATGTAATAAAATGAAATGACACAGGGAAAAAGTATTGAACAGATGAAGAAAGGGAGGTGTATTTTAGCAGGGAAAGCCCAGACAGCAGCTGAAATCTCATAGTAGTTCTTCAGCAAGCCCCTCTGCCCTTCCTCAGTGTAAATGAACATCAGCTGCTTCAGTCCAACATCTACATTAGCAGGAGGATGAAGATGAAAGCAGGGTGGACATTTCAGCAAGACAATGATCCAAAATACAGCCAAGGAGACTCTCGGATGCTTTCAGAGAAAGAAAATCAAGCTGTAGAATGGCCCAGCCAATCACCTGACCCGAATCCAATAGAGAATACAGAATAAAGCTCAGATTTGATAGACGAGACCCACAGAACCATCAAGATTTTGACACTTGCTTGAAGTCTGTGAGAAACTCACACCTGAGCAATGCATGAGGCTTCATTCTCCATATGAGAGGCGTCTTTAAGCTGCAGCAGAGAGATTAAGACGTTTAATTAAAGAATTAAACACATTTCAGTTGTTCAGTACTTCCTCCTTTTTCTCCTTTCTCTTTATGACTTGCCTAATTAACCTAGTGAAGCCTTTGAATGTCACTTTAAGCTGTGTAAAAGTGTCTTGAAGAATATCTAGTCTAATATTATTTACTGTCATCATGACAGAGAATATAAATCAGTTATTAGAGATGAGCTATTAAAACTATTATGTTTAGATATGTGTTCGTCTCTCTGTTTAACAGCACTTGGGAAACATTTTGTACGAATTTAATTTTATTTACATCATGTATTTGTTTGTTTGTTTGTTTGCATCCATCATTCAGTAATACAGAGTTTCCCAAATATTTCACAGTTAATTTGCATATATGCTAAATATTACTTATAGTATTCACTGAGATTTTAGTATTTCAGAATTTGTTAATAGTGACATGACAAACAGGTAAACACTTCAAACATTTATTACAATTATATTCATTCATTCATTTTCTTGTCGACTTAGTCCCTTTATTAATCTGGGGTCACCACAGTGGAATGAACCGCCAACTTATCCAGCAAGTTTTTACGCAGCGGAGGCCCTTCCAGCTGCAACCCATCACTGGGAAACATCCACATACACATTCACACACACACTCATCCACTACGGACAATTTAGCCTACCCAATTCACCTGTACCGCATGTCTTTGGACTGTGGGGGAAACCGGGGCACCCAGAGGAAACTCACGCGAACACAGGGAGAACATGCAAACTCCACACAGAAACGCCAACTGAGCCGAGGTTCGAACCAGCGACCCAGTGACCTTCTTGCTGTGAGGCGACAGCACTACCTACTGCGCCACTACCCCGCCACAATTATATTCAGTTGTTTTAAATTAATATTTTTTGCAATGTTTTTTGACATTCAAATAATTTAATTTAGTATTAAAATATACAGTTGAAGTCAGAAATATTAGCCCTCCTGAATTATTAGCCCCTCTGTTTTTTCCCCCCAATTGCTGTTTAACAGAGAGATTTCTTCAACACATTTCTAATCATGATAGTTTTAATAACTCATAACTTTAATACAGCTTAAAGTGACATTTAAAGGCTTAACTAGGTTAACTAGGCAGGTTAGGTTAGTTAGGAAAGTTATTGTAAGTACGATTTCGTACAAGTTCAGTTGTATGAAACTGTACAACTTTAAAATGAGGCGTGGCACTCAACTCCGTCCCTAAACCCAACCGTCAGTGGGGGATGAGCAAATCGTACTAAATTGTATGAATTAGTTTGTATAGATTGATATAAATTAGCCACTAGAAGTTATGAATTGCCATGAGATTGCATTGGTTATTTCACTAAATGTTGATTTCTGAACTCTTTTCAAGTGAAAATATTGGTAATGTTCAAATGGGTCTAAAAATGAATTTAAAATTCAATCTTTTTTGTAATTTTTATACCAAAAATATTCTGTGTACAGGGCGTCTACCGGGTCTTAAGTCTTAAATTGTCTTAAATTTCAAAAACTACATTTTAGGCCTTAAAACGTATTAGATTCACTAAAGTATTGGGCTGTAAATCCTAAATAATTTTAAATAGGTTTTAATTTTGCTTTGCTATTCAATTGGGCCGACATCCATCCAATGACCAACAATGCATCACAATAAAACTTTTTTTTGTTTGTTTATATGAATGAAAGTTTTTATTATTGCAAAGACATCTCTACAGCAAAGTGTCCAAACTTAATTTCCTATTGAGGGAAAGAAAACTAAAAACAATTACCTGATTCCTCATGATAATACCGGGCCTATAGAAAAAATATGTTGTGTTTAACGCTGTATAAGTGTAAAATTTCATTCTTTATGGTCTTAAAAGGGTCTTAAAAGGTCTTAAATTTGATTTGATGAAACCTGCAGAAACCCTGATAACGATGGTTTGTTCTGTAGACTATCGAAACTAAATATAGCTTAAAGTGGCTAAATATTATGTCCTTAAAATGGTTTTAAAAAAATGAAAACCGTTTTTATTCTAGCCGAAATAAAACTTTCTCCAGAAGAAAAAAAATTATTGGACATGCTGTGGAAATTTCCTTGCTCTCTTAAACATCATTTGGGAAATATTTAAAAAAGGGGAAAAAAAATCAAATTAGCCAATAATTCTGACTTCAACTGTATATAGTATGTTTATTTTAAAGGTGTTATAAAAATATGTATTAATTATAGTAATCTTTTTCGTCACATTAATTCATTTATAAATTTTTACAACATGGTTTATTTACATCATAGTTATTTTTGATTAGCTCACAGTTTACTCCTGCACCTGCAGATCTTTTAAAGCTCTCTCTGGGAGTCTATAGTTATCGTGTCCATCAGTGATTTAATTTCCTGAAAGCAGGAATCAGATGAAGCAGCCTCTCCTACAGATTGAATCAGTCACTAATATAAATACACTTCACATCTATATCCAGCTTACTAATGCACATCAATCCTCTCAGGACCCTCTAACTGGATGACGCTTAATTCTCCATAATGCACGTTCACCCTGTTCAGTTCTGTCCTTCAGCGTCATCGTATCACCTAGAGACTCATAACCATGTCAAACTAACAGAGCTGTGTTTCTTTTGGAAACCTGTCAGTTTTCTGCATTAAAGTATGACAGGGATGTTTGCAAATGTGTTTATGTATTTAAAGAGCAGGTCATATGGGTTTTAGAACAATACCATAGTTTAATGTAAACAGTCTGCACAGTTGTTTATCAAAAAATTGCATGATAACTAAAGATCAGGGATGGCCAAACGTTTTCGTAAAAAGGGCCAAAAACCAAATATCATTATGAGCCGTATATTGCTATATTATATATAAAATATTACACTTAAGTTGCCATGGGTAATTTCCTCATTTATTTGATAATATTTAATATAAATAAACTAGTACTGTCAATCGATAAAAAAAAAATTAACTAATTAATCGCACTTTTAAAAAAAAAATTAATCGTGATTAATCGCATTTAAAAGACTAAAACTTGTAATTTTGGCTATTTGAGTGTAAAATTAATGTAAACGCAGGACAAATACTATTTATATTTAAAATATAACTCATTATTAGAATTTGTGTTTAACTTGTAACACAGATTTCTTCATGTAAACAACAAACCCACAATAAACCATCAAGATCCTGGCCTGACAGCCATATTTATTACAGAAATTAAAACACAGGCATGTTAATGACATTTGAATTTCAAAACAATCAATGCCAATAAAGAAAACATTGATTTCCATGTTGGATTCTAAGTGGACTGCAAAAAAATGCCAAAATACAGGAATTGCAGATATGGAAAATAATAGTAATAATAATAACAATAAAGTAGTGAAAATTTGTGCACGCCCTTGAATAGGTTTACCAACTCCCATTCTTTAAAAGCACAAAAGCCATATATAGGAAATAACAAGAGTCGACAAATTAAAAAACTACAATTTTTTTATTTATTAATATAATAAAATTATAATCCACACTGGAAATGTGGGTGCCTGTGTGTTTTGAGGGAGCATAATAAATAATGAACATAACAAAAACTGCCTGCTGACGCACACAGTTAATGTTGATTAATAAAATAAAGATAAATAATAAAAGCAATGTGTCAGAGACCCTTAAAAAAACATGTTTAACTCAACAATGAAACATCAAATGTAGCTAACAGCTTTTACATTGTCAATCAAATGAACTTAAACAATTAAAAAATGCAACAAATATTTGTTTGGGCAGAACTACAAAAATAAATTTAAAAGAAAAAGTTGCTTAAGTTGCACACTAGTCTGGTCATGTATAAATATCATTATATTAACCATATTGTATACATATTATTGTCACTATAAGCCTACATCATGCTGACGATCAAAAACACAATGTCATGATATCTCATGCGCATGTCTTCTGACCGAGTGCATCTTAAAATACATGACTGACACACCTCATAAAGCTTGAGAAGCAGACATTCTCTATCATTTTTAATAAAGACTTGCAGGTTAAGGAAACAGCATAGGAAGTTGCCGCGGCCGTGGTGCAGATTAAAAGTAAAAAAAGAGTATATTTATATGGACAGATAGGTAACTAGATAGAATAGACAGGGATATATTGATCTGTGCTCCGCTGCAGAGTGCAGACACAAAAGCCTGCTCTCCCGCGGCGCGTACCAGCGTGTGAGAAAACAGGCGTGACTCTTGGCTATTTTGACAAATACACACCTACGTTACACAGAGCCCAACATGGAAGTTTGTGATTGGGTCAGCCCAATGTCAATAAAGAAAAGAACCAATGGGCTGCAGATTATGTCACACAGGTGCTCTGTCTGGAAAAGAAACATCTTACTTTCAGAGCGGGACAGCTCACAGCACCGTCAATCACTGAGGCAGAAAGACAGGACAGTCTGCTGAGTGTTTTATGGGCCGATCAGATCATAAGAAGATGATTAGCCCGGCCCAAAAAGTACATCGAAACAGCGGGGAACTGCCCGGCGTCTGCCCCTGGCCACAACAGGAAAAAAAAAAAAAAACTGCGTTAATTGCATGAAGTTTTTTTAACGCGTTAATTATTTCAAATTAATCGCATGCGTTAACGCGTTAATTTTGACAGCGCTAAAATAAACATTACTTAACTTATGCAGTATCACTCTAAAATTTAACTTATTGCAATAAAAACATAAGTGAACAGTGGAGTCCAATGCTGAATACACTAGTCAAGCAGAATCTGCCTTTGCCTTGATTTGCTCAACAAAGTCTCTGCGTTGTCGTCTGTCCATCAGGTATGTACATTTACACTAAATCATTTACAATATTTAATTGAAACATGGGCGTCACGATGGCGCAGTGGGTAGCACAATCGCCTCACAGTAAGAAGGTCGCTGGTTCAAGCTTCGGCTGGTTAAGTTGGCGTTTCTGTGTGGAGTTTGCATGTTCTCCCCGTGTTAACGTGGGTTTCGTCTGGATGCTCCGGTTCCCCCCACAATTTCAAAGATATGCGGTACAGGTGAAATGGGTGGGGTAAATTGACCATAGTGTATGGGTGTTTCCCAGTGATGGGTTGCAGCTGGAAGGGCATCAGCTGAGCAAAACATATGCTGGATTAGTTGGCGGTTCATTCCGCTGTGTCGACCCCAGAATAATAAAGGGACTAACCCAAAAAGAAAATGAATGAATGAATGAATGAAAACATTTCATTTCAATTAGCTTTTAACAATAAAACAACCCTAAAAAAAGATTACATTTGGTTTGAAAAGACAATCGAAAGACCAAAGATGGGATGGCGGGCCAAATCAAAGGTTACCGTGGTCCAACTTTAGCCCGCGGACCCTAGGTTGGGCATCTCTGCTAAAGATATTGGGTCCCATTCACGCTTTTTGTAGTGTTCATAATTATTTACATTTTTACGCCCCGTCTACACTGAAAAAAATAATTCAGAGATGATTCCTTGGATTTACTCAATTTTTTATGTTAAGTTTGTTGTAAACAATTTATTTGTGTTGAATTTAAACAAACAAATTAAGTTGAACATTATTAAACTTAATTTGTTTGTTTAAATTCAACACAAATAAAATGTTTGCAACAGTTCTGCATGCAACACTTTTTTCAGTGTAAGGATGTAACATGAAAGGGAAGACTACACACACAATGCTGCTTAAGAAAATATATAAAGATTTTATTTTCACAATGATTTTCTCAAACAAAATTTGTCTCTTTTTTTTCAACTTCAGGAGCTGACCAGGCCGAAACAATAAACAAAACAATCTAAATTTAAATCCTCTCTAAATTCCCTATTTTCAGCAAAAAGAAAGAAAATAAAATACACTTTCTTACCTTACTCCCTTGTCCTACAAAAACAATTAATTAAAAAAGGTACAAAAGAAAATGCCGTCAAGCTCCTGATTAAATTGTAAATATTTACAATCAGCAAACTAATCCAAAAAGGGGAAAAACAGCAGAGTAGTCATTTAACAGGCAGAGGTCAGATTTTCAACATTAACAAACGAGAACTAAAGCACTAAATACTTTCACAGATCTTTCTCAAACACTTAGACAAACTCCAATTCAACAAATCTAACAAACAAGCACACACTTTCTTTATATACCCATAAACACACCACTACCAACCACAAGTGAGCTCAAACAGCTAAACAGGAAGTGACAGAGGAAGTATTTATAGGCAGCCAGGAGTCAGCTGACTAGGCAGGGTGTGGCATTAATTGGAGCAGGGGCAGGACCAAACACAGGAGCAAGCAGCTGCTTCCTGCAGAGAGACACAGAACACTTCCCAAAAATAAAAAAGCAGAATTAATACATATAGGAACATAACAACATTATTCTATTCTATTCTGTTCTATTCTATTCTATTCTATTCTGTTCTATTCTATTCTGTTCTGTTCTGTTCTGTTCTGTTCTGTTCTGTTCTATTCTGTTCTGTTCTTTTCTGTTCTTTTCTGTTCTGTTCTGTTCTGTTCTTTTCTGTTCTGTTTTAAGTTTAACACAAAGCTAAAGTAGTTTTTTTTGTCTCTCAGTAGAAACATATGAATGATTGTCATTGTTATCATGATCACAATAAAGAGCAGAACATATTGCATTATATATTTAAAGTCCAGATTAATCATCCCTGCTCGTTCAGCACAAATAAACCCTGATGTTCTCCTGCGCTCTGTCAGATTTAGTCTCTAAATGTTTTTCCGGGTCGATTTTTCAGACGTATATTTTCCTGCAGAACAGATTGCTCTCGACTTCCTCCTCAGATTTGTCTCATTAAACGAGTGCACACTCTTGAAAACAAATGAGTTTTGCTCGTTCTCTGGACGCTCCATTCATTAAAGCAGACTGTGAGCCGGCGTTTATTGGAGAGCTGATAAATATTGTGTTACAGCCCATTATTGTGGCCTGTCGAATGTAATTGGAACATTATGAGTTTGCAGACGCAGATTTAATGTTTTTGAAAATTTCTTCTCACCAAGACTGATTTAAAAGCAAATCTGAAGTACATTAATATGGTGATATATTATAGCAGTTATAGAGTATGGAAAATGTCATTTAACTATCATTTATTATACTCGCAAAGGCTAAATTTATTTAATAGACAATACAGTAATGTTGTGGAATGTTATTAACAATATAAAATTTTAAAACATTTAAATCTAGATCAATCTCACTGTAATCTTGGAATTATTCCAGGTTAATCTAGATCAAAATGGCTCATTTGAATTCTGCCGAAGACATTCAGAATATGTCTGCTACCCAAATAATGACTAAAAGTAAGTCTTTGAGAACAGGTTTCTCAAGCCAGGTAGCGCATTAGACCAGGGGCTCATCTCCTGTTTCCAAAATGCATCACAAACTGCTTGAGAAACCGTGATAAATAAATTATGTTCAATAAGGTGTGCTTGTGTTTACTAACTGCTTATTCAGATAGACATGAATGCTGAACTGTAGGCCTACATAAGCTCCAAACAGCCTTTTTGGATGATCTTAATCTGACTAAAGTCATAACTGACCTAAACAGAAATGGAATCAAGACATGTTGAGTATGCAGATATTATTGGCATTATTGAAGTAAACAAAGCAAACTATTACCGTCAATTAGATCCACACGCGGCTGTCAGTAAAGGACCACTCACACACAGACACAGATCGCGAAATGCAGAAGTTTTTTTCTTTCCATTCGGCGTGCGTTATTAAATTCCATAACACTCTCACCAGTCTGTTTAAAATAGTTTTTCTTTTTTTAAATATTTCCCAAATGATGTTTAACAGAGCAAGGAAATTTTCACAGTATGTCTGATAATATTTTTTCTTCTGGAGAAAGTCTTATTTGTTTTATTTCGGCTAGAATAAAAGCAGTTTTTAATTATTTAAAGAACAATTTAAGGTCAATATTATTAGCCTCTTTAAGCTATATTTTTTTCCCAGTAGTCTCTACAGTACAAACCCTCCTTGTACAATAACTTGCCTATAACCCTAACCTGCCTAGTCACCTAGTTAAGCCTTTAAATGTCACTTTAAGCTGTATAGAAGTGTCTTAAAGAATATCTAGTTAAATATTATGTGCTGTCATCATGACAAAAAGAAAATAAATCTGTAATTAGAGATGAGTTATTTAAACTATTATGTTAAGAAATGTGTTGAAAAAAAATCTGCTCTCCATTAAACTGAAACTGAAATTGGGGCAAATATAGAGGGGGCTAATAATTTAGGGGGGCTAATAATTCTGACTTCAACTGTAATGGTGTTTATAGTAAATGTATCATTAAAGTACATGTAGTAAATTATTCATTAATTTCTTTGCAGACATGAACTATTATTCTTTTTTCAGAATAAATTATTGTTGTTTTTGCAATGTAAAAATCTTGCGATGTTTGAGAAATGTTCTGCATTCTTACTAAATAAAAAAGTTTTAAAAAAATAAAACCTATAAATTGTATAAAAAATGTATGATGTTTATTAATAAAATAATAATTATTATTATTAATATGATAATGTATTATTATTATTTAAATAATAATAATAATTATTATTATTATTATTTATATTAATAATAATTTATTATTATTATTATTATTATTTCTTTTAATAATTAATTTTATTATTTATTTATATTATTATTATTATTATTATCATTATCATTATTATTATTATTATCTATATTATAATTTATTATTATTATTATTAATATTATTTATATTAATAATGTATTATTTATTATTATTATTATTATTATTATTATTATTAATAATAATAATAATAATAATTATTATTATTTGTATTGTAGTTTATTATAGTTATTATTATTCAATTATTATTATTATTATTTAATTATTATTATTTTAAAATATTATAAGTATCAAGTTATTGTATAAGTACCAATATTTAAAATAAATGTATTTTTTTGTAAATATCTGCTTTGATGTGGTTTTTTTTCTGTTTTTCTCCTCCAGTTGAAGTGGAAGTGTAAAAAAGAGGACGAGAGTAACGCCGGCTATTCCCATGAATGTCTTCAAAACCTCTTTCAGAAGGTGAGACACTTGATTAATCTTTGTTATCAATGATCATGATTGGGGTCCAACATACACACTCATTCACACACACACACACACACACTCATACACTACGGCCAATTTAGTTCATCAATTCTCCTATAGCGCATGTGTTTGGACTGTGGGGGAAACCAGAGCACTTGGAGGAAACCCACGCCAACACGAGAGAGCATGCAAACTCCACACAGAAACTCTCGGGACTTAAACCAGCAGCCTTCTTGCTGTAAGGGCCACAGTGCTAACCATTGAGCCACCGTGCCTACCAAAGAAAGAAATTAGTATCTTTAAAACAAATGTTAATACATCACAATTGTTATCATCAAATTCCAATGCACATATAAATGTTTAGAGCAATGTTTTTACAGTGTGTTTCAAATAATTGTACATTTCCAGCATTCCCTTCCCTCGTGTTGTTATTATGCATGTCTTCCGTGTCAAAAACAAGTGTTGTGAGAGCTTTACGAGGGCCGATTATGAGCTTTTCAGAGCTGCGTTTAATTGTTAGCGTATTTGAGTGTTGTTTTCATCTGATTATCTGAAGCACGCTGTCCGTCCAGGCTGTGTTTTAAAGACGTGAGAAGTGGCCTTGTGTGTGAATGAACAGTTTTTTTTCCTCTGCTATTAATGAGCAGATCTGCCGTCCAGCGCCGCGGGTCTCAGGTCTGCATGACATCAGCCATTAAAAGCTTTATTTCCCCCCGTGTGCGAGCGCTATTAAGTTTTTCTTGTTTTTCGCACATGCCACCGCTGCAGACATGTTTAGAGGCGTTCGGGGACTGCTGGAAATCTGCTCTTCACATGCAAACGTAAGATTCAATTGTGCATCTACACGCAGATCTGGGAAGCTGGAGTTTTTTGTTGTTTTACTTGATGATTCTACATTGAAGGTACAGTTGAAGTTAGAATTATTAGCCCTCTTGTTTGTTTTTTCCCCAATTTCTGTTTTACAGGGAGAAGATTAAAGCACATTTCTAATCATAATCGTGTTAATAACTCATCTCTAATAACTGATTTATTTTCTCTTTGCCATGATGACAGTAAATAATTTTAGACTAGATATTCTTCAAGACACTTCTTTACAGCTTAAAGTGACATTTAAAGGCTTAACTAGGTTAATTAGGGTAACTAGGCAGGTTAGGGTAATTAGGCAAGTTATTGTATAACGATGGTTTGTTCTGTAGACTATCAAGAAAACAAAAATATAGCTTAAAGGGGCTAATAATATTAACCTTAAAATGGTTTATAAAAAATTAAAAACTGCTTTTATTCTAGCCGAAATAAAACAAATAAGACTTTCTCCAGAACAAAAAAATATTTTCAGACATACTGTGAACATTTCCTTGCTCTGTCAAACATCGTTTGTGAAATATTTAAAAAAGAAAAGATTTTAAAGTGGGCTAATAATTCTGACTTCAACTGTACTTATTAAAATAACAAGCGAGACATGCATGGCAAGTTCATTTATGTAGCACATTTCATACACAATGGTAATTTAAAGTTCTTTAGATAAACAAGAATAAAAGAAATGTATAAGATGACAATATAATTAAAAATGAAACTAAAAACACACAAATAAAAAATAATACATTTATTCATTTTTAACTATGTTATGTATGTTTTTAAACATATTAATTAATGATGCACTGAAATGAAAATTCATGGCAAAACTGAAAAACCGAAAGATTTTATATATTTATGATAATTTTTAAAAGAAAAGTGGGCAGCAAGGTGGCACTGTTATCTCACAGTGAGAAGGTCACTGATTCGAGTCCCGGCTGGTTCAGTTGGTGTTTCTGTGTGGAGTTTGCATGTTCTCCCCATGTTTACATGGGTTTCCTCCGGGTGCTTCGATTTCCCCCACAAGTCCAAACACATGCGCTATTCACCTTATTCTTTGCAGACGAGTGGGCGCAGCCATTTGAATCTTTTTGGCTCGAAACTTCCGGTCTCATTCACTTCCATTCATTTTTAGACATTAAAAGCTGCTTGTTTTGCTGTTTGATGTTGCAAACTGATATTTCCCTATTATATTATTCTACTTGGTCTGTATAGTCATGCAAACATTTGTTTGTAGAGCAAGTAGTTCCTAGTCATTTCTCTTATAAGCGACTGAATCAGAAGTTCTAAGACAATTGCGAAAACAGCCGCACTTCCATATTTTAGAATAAGGTCAATAGGGGAATTGATGAACTGAATTGGCCTTAATGTATGAATGTGTGTGTATGGATGTTTCCCAGTGTTGGGTTGCGGCTGGAAGGGCATCCGCTGTGTTACTCAATGTTGGAATAGTTGGTAGTTCATTCTGCTGTGGTGACCCCTGACAATCAGGGACTAAGCTGAATGAATGAATGAATGAAAGAATGAATGAATGAATGAATGAATGAATGAATGAATGAATAAAAAAAGGATAAGGAAAAAATACAATAAAAAACCAAATAAACAAATGAAGAAGTAAATAAAGAATAAAAAATTACTAAAGGTTCTGGCAATTTATGGGTTTTTTTAATGTATAGGGCTCTATTTTGATGGTTCATGCGCAAAGTGCAAAGCTCAGGGCACAAAAGCATTCAGGGCATGTCAGAATCCACTTTTGCTAATATAAGGATGGAAAAATCTGCTTTGCGCCGTGGAGCATGGTCTAACAGGGTTGAGCTTATTCTCTTAATGAGTTATAGGTGTGTTTTGAGAATAAACCAATCAGAGTCTCATCTCCCATTCCCTTAAGAGCCAGTTGTGCCGCGCCATAGCGCATTTGCTATTTACTGCTATTTATTCCTGAATCTGTTCAACATCATTTAGGAAATATTTGAGAAAGAATAAATAATGCACAGGAGGGCGAATAGTTTTGCCCTCAATTGTATTCAATGAACAAATTGAGATTTTCTTTCATGCAGTTCCTCATAAACTGTGCTCTAATATTAGCTGTAGTGGGTTTAGATCAGCACGTACTTTCATTTGGCATCTTCCTTTCTGTGGTCAAAGGTCAAATACTGACCGATACTCCAGATCGACTCCCAGAATTCCTGATATTAATAATAATAATAATGATGATGATGATGATGATGATGATGATGATGATGATGGACTGAGCTGGAGGAGTAAACGCTGCTGAACATCAGCTGATGTTTCTCAGATTCATGGCTGACGCTCAGAAATACTCCAGACCTGGGAAGAAAACATTTACACTGAAAATAGATTGACATTTAATCCGACTCTTCAGGCTTGTCGTCCCTCTCATGATGTTCTTTCATGACGTTTATTTTTCTTCTACATTTCTGAGCAAAAGGGCGGATATTTTGATAGAGCAGCACGATTATGGGAAAATTCATGATTAAAAAGCTTGATTGTTTTGGTCAGTGTTGTAATCTTGATTTGTGTATGTATGCATGTGTTTATTTATTTATTTACTTTAATTATTTTATTTTTATTCATTCATTCATCTTGTTTTCAGCTTAGTCCCTTTATTAATCAGGGGCCGTCACAGCGGAATGAACCGCCAACTTGTCTGGCATATGTTACATGCAGCAAGTGCCCTTCCAGCGGCAACTTTTTAATTTTATTTTATTTAAAATATGTTTGCAAAAAGTTTGCTTGTTTATGTATTTATTTATTTAGTTTAGTTAGTTAATCTGTTAGTAAGTTTGTTCTTTTATTTTGTTATTATTTTGTATTTGTTTGTTTGTTTGTTTATTTATGTATTTTTTATGTTAGCTATTATTTAATTAGTTAGTTTGTTGTATTATTGTATTTTTAATAATTATTTATTTAATTTAATTTTGTTATTGTTTGTTTATTTATGTATTTATGTTAGTTATTATTTAATTAGTTACTTTGTTCTATTATTTTATTTTTTATAATTGTTTATTTTATTTTATATTTTATATTTTATTTTGTTATTTGTTTGTTTATTTATGTATTTATTTATATTAGTTAGTTATTTAATTAGTTAGTAAGTTTGTTCTTTATTTAATTTTATATTATTTTTTTGTTTGTTTGTTAATTTATATATTTATTTTATGTTAGTTATTATTTAATTAGTTTGTTCTTTTATTTTATTTTTAATAATTATTTATTTTATTTTGTTTTTTGTTTGTTTATTTAGGTATTTATTTATATTAGTTAGTTATTTAATTAGTTAGTAAGTTTGTTCTATTATTTTATTTAAAATTAATTTTTATTTTATTATTACTTTCGTTTGTTTGTTTATGCATTTATGTTAGTTAGTTAGTCAGTCAGTCAGTCAGTCAGTCAGTCAGTCAGTCAGTCAGTCAGTCAGTCAGTCAGTCAGTCAGTCAGTCAGTCAGTCAGTCAGTCAGTCAGCCAGCCAGCCAGCCAGCCAGCCAGCCAGCCAGCCAGCCAGCCAGCCAGCCAGCCAGCCAGCCAGCCAGCCAGCCAGTCAGCCAGCCAGCCAGCCAGTCAGTCAGTCAGTCAGTCAGTTAGTTAGTTAGTTAGTTAGTTGGTAAGTTTGTTGTTTTATTTTATTTTCTTTTATTTTATGTTGAAATTACACCTATGCAATTCTGAGATAATGAAATTAGCAGAATACTAAAAATGGATGCTAAAAATGGACGAAGTAGGAAAAAAACAAAGAAAAGTCCTCAGTTGTTGATAATATTAATAATTATATATATATATATATATATATATATATATATATATATATATATATATATATATATATATAAATATAAATATATAAAAGATGTACATTGAACTTAGTCAACACTGTAGGAATTAAACTAAGTTTGTTTCTTTTTAAAGCTACAATAGTCCTTCAATTGATAGGAGTGATTAACTTTTTAGTTAATCATAGTTAATAATGATAAATGCAGTCGTCAGCATGAAAATAGCGCACTGTCACTTTAAGAGCCACAGGAATGAATGTGGACTGCTGGAAAGAGGGTGGGATACAGAATAATGCAATAACCATTATTCATTCATTCATTAATGTTCTTTCATATTAGTTGGAGGCCTAAATTGAATTGACAGCCTTTTATCTAGACAGTTTTCAGCGTGCTGATGGTTGACTGTCTGGTGTTTGTGTTGCAGTATGGAGACGTCTTGAACATCTTGATATCCAGCAAGAAGAAGGGCAGCGCTGTGGTGGAGTTTGCTTCTGCAAAAGCTGCTGTGAGTGTTTTTATCTGAATCAGGTGTACAAATACACAACTGCTGCATCACAATTCATTCATTCATTCATTTTTCCTTCGGCTTAGTCTGTTATTTATTAGGGGTCACTACTGCGAAATGAACCAACGAATATTCCAGCATAAATTTTACACAGCGGATGCCCCTCCACCCACAATCCATTACTGGAAAACACCAATACACACACATTCACACAGACACACACACTAATATTTTACGGCCATTTTAGTTATTCAGTTCCCCTGTAGTGGACTGTGGAGGAAACCTACACCAACATGGGGAAACTAACTAACTAACCAACCAACCAACCAACCAACCAACCAAACAACTAACTAACTAATCAACAACTAACTAACTGACTAACTAACTAACTAACTAACTAACTAACTAACTAACTAACCAACCAACAAATTAACTAACTAACTAACTAACTTACTAACTAACTTACTAACTAACTAACTAACTAACTAACTAACTAACTAACCAAGTAACCAACCAACTAACCAAACAACTAACCAAATAACCAACCAACTAACTAACCAACCAACTAACTAACTAACTAACTAACCAACCAACTAACCAACCAACTAACTAACCAACTAACTAACCAACTAACTAACCAACTAACTAGCCAACTAACTAACCAACCAACTAACCAACTAACTAACTAACTAACTAACTAACTAACTAACTAACTAACTAACTAACTAACTAACTAACTAACCAACCAACAAATTAACTAACTAACTAACTAACTTACTAATTAACTAACTAACTAACCAAGTAACCAACCAACTAACTAACTAACTAACTAACTAACCAAGTAACCAACCAACTAACCAACTAACTAACCAACTAACTAACAACTAACTATCTAACTAACTAACCAACCAACCAACCAACAAATTAACTAACTAACTAACTAACTAACTTACTAATTAACTAACTAACTAACCAAGTAACCAACCAACCAACTAACCAACTAACTAACTAACTAACTAACTAACTAACTAACTAACTAACTAACTAACTAACTAACCAACCAACTAACCAACTAACTAACCAACTAACTATCTAACTAACTAACCAACCAACCAACCAACCAACTAACCAACCAACTGTTTGTCTACTATTATCTATCAAAAATTGACATAAATAGTTTGAAATAGAGGTATTGATGAAAAAATCTATGGTAATAATATATTTAAAATAGAGTATATAATGACGTAATTGAAATTCATATTATTTACAAACATTATGTTTTTTGTAATATAAATATTGTAATTTATTATAAATTACTGTGAATTATTGCTGTCGCTCAATCTATAGATCACCAGTTGATTTCAGCTACAAATAAACTGATCTGCCAAATGCATTAAGGTCCTGTTAAATTAATATAAAACATTTAGATGTTAATTTCAGTCTGCACTACAAGCTAGTGCGCTTCAAAACAGTGACAAATGTCTCGTTTAGATAATATAAAACTGATATCAACACCCAAAGCTTGTAGTTTGCCACTTCTGCCTGAACGGATCAACAACTGTTTTCACGTCACCTCATACTTCAGTTTCTCATCAAATCTTCTGACCAATCAAATGCTCTCTAGTACCTGGCATGCCCCGCCTCCTCCTTCTCATTGGCTGTTCATTTGATGCACTTGAGCTCATCTCACGGGTAAAGCGGTGAGAAAGCCAAAGACTATTGGCTATTTTTTTAAAGGGGAGGAGCTATGTCTTGCCCTCTATTCTCGTTTCAGTTGAGATTACGTCAAACATTGAGTAAATAATGCACATTTCAAAGCACTTCATGCGACCTTTAAAAGCAAATAAGGTGTTTAATTTATACTGTAATGACATTTGTTTTGTTTTTAATGGTGGTTTGGTTTCTGTGGTCTGATTTAGGAGCTGGCATGTAAAAACGAGAGCGGTCTGACTGGGAACCCGTTGAAAATCACGTGGTTGGAGGGTCAGCCTCTGCAGACGACACTCAGCGAAAACACACACTCCGGCTTCAGTGCTACACAGGTACACACTCACACAAATCAAAGCACTTTCAGTTGTTAAAAAAAGGTTACGTGTTTGTGTTCATACTATACTAAAAACAGCTGCATTACATGTTGGTTTACAGTAAAGTTTACATTGTTCTAGAGTTAAAACTCAAATTATCTTTTGAATTAGAGTAAACAATTGTTTAATTCCTGCTCACATGGCTCAAATATCTGAAAAAAAATGTTTCTTTATGATTCATACATAATTATGTATTATAATATTAATTATTATACATGTATTTTATTATAATTAATAAATTATGATAAGAATTATTCATTTGAACTTTTTGGAAAATAAGTATCATAGAAATTGTTCGATTTTTACATAAAAAAATGCCAAAATAAAAGTCACTGACTGACTGAGCATGAAGATTAAATGGAGCTTAAACACAAATAATCTTTCTGTTTACAGTGAACAATTGTTGAATCCCTGCTCACATGGCTCAAATATTTAAAAAAAAGAAGAAATTAATTATTATGATTAATTATTAGACACCCTTGATTGTACAAAATATTTTGTTAAAGCTTGAGAAAATAATCACAAATAAATGCTTAAAAAATGCATCTGTCAATAAACACATTTTCAAGATTTTTAAAAGTAAATTTGAAACCTTGTGAATTTTTGTGGAACAAAATAGTCTGAATAAATAGCCTTTGAGAGTAAAAAAAGAAAAAAATAATCTATGCCTACCTATATTAATTAGTAATTAATTTTATTATAATTAACTCTAAAAAGAATTATTGTAAATAAGCCTCATAGAAATGCTAAATTTTGACATAAAAATGTCAAAATAAAAGTCACTAATTGACTGAGAGAGGCAAATTAAATGTATGTGCAAATCAGTATTATTGCATGCAAATGAGTGAAAATATCAGCGTTTCCATCCAATGAGAAAGAAAACAGAAGAAAATCATCACTTCCTGATAAACTGGAGCAAATATCAAGTGGAGAAATGCGGTAGGGGAAGCCGCGGTGGTCTGTTTTTCTTCTCTAATAAATGAGTTGCGCATTATTTATGCAATAGTGCAAAATAAAAGTAGAAATGGGTAATAGAAAAATAGCTATTGACAAACATACAGTAGGAACAAATATACTATGGCTGTTCCTTCCAACCATCTTCAGCATATCTTCTTTTGTTGTGTTCAACAGAAGAAATAAACTCACACAGGGTTGATACTAGTCTAGGTTGAGTAAATAATGCCAGAATGTGCATTTATTGTTGGTGAACTGACCCTTGAACTGGAAATGACCACTCTTGTAAATGTGTTCTCTATGCTTCTGTTCGTGAGCGCTAGTCTTTTTTTGTGAAATGTAACAACAGTCTAAAGTTACCCCGCCGTTCCAGATGATTCTTATGGATTTGGCGCTCAATCTAAATAACATTTGTCATGTGTCCGTCAGAGAGAAGTATGTAAACATGGAGGTTTTGCATTGGTGCTGCTGTGCAAGTCTGCTGCTGTGTGTGAGTTTGTTTGAGTTGGAGCTCAGGCACGCGAGCCACTCTCAGACCCCCAGCACCGCCTCATTACAGACTGAGACGTGTGTGTGTGTGTGTGTGTGTGTGTGTGTGTGTGTGTGTGTGTGTGTGTGTGTGTGTAGCAGTGTGTGTAGCAGTGTGTGTAATGTGTGACTGGCACGAGATGTTGGAGACGAGGCCTTCACTAGTGCTGCGCTCCTGCTTTTAGACTCGTCTGCTCACCATGATGAATCATAACATAAATCATGCTGAAACTGCATAATATCATGCATGAAGTCATTTTTGGGGATGTCTAGACCATATGAATCAGAACAAGATGACTAAAGCTGACATAAAACGAAAGATAAACAGAAATAATTAAAAATAAAAACGAATCAAAAGTGATTTATGAAAATGACCAACTAACCAAGGCTAAAATTAAAACTTAAAATAAACATCCTATTATGCACAAATCACTTTTAACCCAGTTGTCTGTCAGCAGTGTGTGAATATCTCCAGCCTCTAATAATCAACAATTAATTGTATTCATTATGATCAGACTTGCTAAAAGCAGTCTGCAGAAACACTTTGATTGACATTCTCCTTTTGTACGTGTCATCAGAGGGGGAAAGCCCCGCCCACTAGTGCCCATCTCTCCCTCATTAGCATAAACAGCAGCCCTGAGTGAGAAGCAGCTGTCCATTACGCCCCATTCACACGGGGCTTTACCGTCAACGCTTGACTAAAGGCGTGTCTGAAGTTGGGGCTGAAGCGATCTTCATAAAGCGTCAGCCAATGAAAGCAATAGGCCACTGTCTGAGCTGGTGTATTTACACACAGCGATCTGATTGGCTGACGCTTCCGTTGGCGCTTGAAAAGTTGAGCTAGTCCCAACTTCTGCAGCGAGCAACGTCTCTGCAGCGGTGCCGACGAATCCACAATGCAGTTCGGCAACGCCTGACGTCACCCATTCAAAGTGAATGGGAAGCGTTGACGCTGACGCCCCGTGTGAATGGGGCATTAGGCATTAGGCATATATCCAGCAGAGCATCCATAAAAACACCCAGATATGGATAATCAGGTTTCTGGATGGAGGATTAGTTTGACTGACCTAAAAGATAAGAAGTGGCTTTTTTTCTGTGTGTTTGCTAAACAGATGGTTTCACATTAAACATGTTATGGTTTCTACAAAAATATGAAGCCGTTTTCAACCTTAATAATAAAATTCAGTAATCAGATCATCATATTAGAATGATTTCTGAATGATTTCTGAAAGATGGGGTGGCACTAGCTGTGTTTCTATCCTGGTATGTGAATTTAAAGCTGCAGTAGGTGATTGTCTTCAGAAACATTTTTTGTTGGGCAGGTTGAAAGTCTCTTCACAGTCTAATATGTCAAATAATGATTACAGTAAATGATCTAAATGTGTTGATATGTATTTTTATATTCTGGGTAAGGCATAAAACAAAAAAAAATTTCATCCAATTAAATAGAGTCGGACTGACGTCTCCCATAATTCCGATAAGCAGCTCAGACTGTCAGCAAATGTAGATTCGGATTTCTGCGCATCTGTTCACGTAGATTAGTGCGTACCCGTCTGCATAAGCGGCCACGCGGTCACGAGACGGACCGGGAGAAATCAAATGCTTACCTGAAACTTTTAAAAACCTGAATCAGTATTGGAGTTACTTTAGCACGCTGGAGGAAAGACGACACCACGGCTGAAGTGTCACTGTTAGACAGGTCATGTTCTGTTTTAAAACTCTTTTCGTCACTGACTCGGTCCCAGTCATTCCCCTCGCTGGCCAGCAGAGGTCACCATCCCCGGACTATTAACCATTACGTCATCCACTTACACTGATAGCCTGCACACCTGAAGCGCATCCACTTGATCACCCACGCTCACACATATAAGCAGCACACACACACTCAGTCATTGCGAAGTCTTCCTCTGCCCCGGCTAACACTACTGAGCGTTTCTATACACTGCCTGCTTTCCCGTTGCTTACCTTTCCTTGTTCTCCAACCTCGTCCTGCCAGCCGCCTGCCTTGTACCTCTGCCTGATTACCGACTTTGATCCAAAAGTCAAAGTCCTTGATCTCTAGCCTGAACACCGACCTTGATATCCGCCGCCTGCCTCAGACCCATGCCTAAACATTAAGGGTGTCACGATCTTCCAAATCCTCGATTCGATTACATTTTCGATTCTAAAGGTACGATTCGATTTTCGAGTATGAATAATTAATTAATTAATGACCAATTAATTATTTGTAGCCTACCGTTTAAACTACCTGACCTGCATGGTCTTTGTTTTACCCATAAACAAATCATACAGTAAATGAATAAAGGCAAGATACACACATAATTACCACCTGTCAATCACCTTTTCTGCGGGACTCGTGAATAGGCAGTGATCTGTGTCGTTATAATGGCGTCGGTAAAAAAGACGCACAACCAACAGGAACCAGCCAACAGTATCTGAGGTGTTCGCTAAAATGACTAAGTACAAGTGAGTGAAAGATTGAAGCAGTCCTCTGACTGCCTGGACCTGCTGTCTCGAGCGCATGGCTGTGTGTGCGTCTGTGTCTGTGTGGTCACGTGATGTGCATTTTCAGAGGCAGAGAGGAAGGAGGGCTGCTCAGAAATGCTACACGCCACTGTGGATGTCAAATCGTTGTTGTTCTAAAATGCCATTTAAAAACAAAGACAGTGTAAACAGGGCCTGAGTGTGTACTTTTCACGAGCGGATTTGCAACAGGGGCGGGCGAAGGATCGCAATGCCGGGTTTGTCTATCGGACGAACCCTAATACGTACATAGCAGAGCTTGCAAAACTGTTTTTTTTGTCGACAACATGAACGTTGTCAACATAACTCACTGGAAATCCAAAATGCTTCCACACCGGCGACTTCATTGAAAGAGGAGAGGGTTTGAGCTCTGTCGACGGGTCTCCTGCGTCTGCAGTTTAACAAGCACTTAAACAAGCCTGTTTTTTCCCGCTTGGCAAGACAAGATGACGTGACATGGGGGCGTGGCAGCATCGACGATTCTATTTTTTGATTCGATAATCGAAATTGAGCATAAATTTCGATCGATTTCGATTAAAAATCGAAATCGTGACACCCCTACTAAACATTCATACTGTGGTTACCTGCCGCCAACCCTTCAACGTAACACTATTGTGTTTGATGTGAGTTCGCACACGCATTACATCTGTGTGCGTGTCTTTATTAAACTGTGTTTAATAAATATACTGCAAATGGATCCCTCTGTGTCAGCCACTTCGTTACACTTTTAGTCAGGCTAAGCTGATGTTAGATTGTGTTCTGTTATGAATGACTTATATGCACAGACGTGTTGTTCAGCCACTGAAATCTCCTGGTGAAAGATTGATGTGATTATTTTCAGTTTCATAAGGTCCTTTTACAGCATCTATAATGTAGATTTATATTTAGTTTAACAACAAAACATCAGTAAATAGCGCTGTTCCTCCTAACCTGCTTTATTGAGCTGAAGTTGC